ATGATAGAAATTAAAAATACCAGTCAAACAACAATTCCATTAGACAGCGATAAACTCAAAAAAAAAATCAAGAAATAGTTCATAAAACGAAATTTACAATTGGCAATAAGACAGAAAGTGTTACGGATGACTTAAAGAAGGCTCGATACGACAGTAGAGAAACGTTAGGTCGGTAGAATGATAGGTAAAGTAAAAAGAGCTCTTGGCGATGTTATTGCTCAGACGAGAGAGTAGGGCGATGTCGTAGTCCAAGTTGCACAGGATATATACGTAAGGGTAAGCCATAGAAGTAACACGCACGCTCTTGGGTACCCTCGTCCAATCTCCTTTATGTCTTACCAGTTTCTCAAACTGCTTTTGCCGTGTCAATCGATTTTGCGCGACACTCCGATCCGTTATCTTCTCTGTTATATACCTTATTCCAGAGATCTTTTTTCATCTTCCAAGTACTTTTTATGTCTAAGTCTCTGTCCTGTCACTCGTCTTAGTCATATGCCAATCATAGATTTTTTTAAATCTTATTATTTTTTTGATGACATTTTCAGTCCAATTCACTACTTTACTAACTATTCAGCTTACGATAATTTTTTTTTTTTATTCATTTCCTTGAAAAATTAATGTTTAATTATAAAGTAAACCTCAATTTTAATGAAAATGACACACTTTCTACTTATCAAGATAAAAATTTTTAGACAAAGAAACTTGAGCTTTCAAAGACGAATATTATGCTAGAATAAATCATTAAAAATTCTAGCATTACTTTGGGAATGTTTTTTTTGAGTGTAAATTTTTTTATTTTGAGGTGTTAATCTTTTTGGTAAATATGACAGGATGTTTTTAGTAATTTAATAACATTTATTTCTTTCTTTAATAAGACTGTAAATGAATTATATGAAGTGAAAAAAAAAATATAGGTAAAACTTTTGGAAAAAAAATTACAGACGGTCTGTCATTTATAAAAGCCAAGACATAAGTAATATATGAAATTCTGTGTTGTCGTTCTCGCTTGCTCTTGATATCCCCAAGGAGCAATTCAATCTTTGCAACTGTCTTTCTAGGGTCCATCAATGTTTTCTTTGAAAAAAGTCACGAAATAAAATCTTGACTATCACTATAAGAATTTCCCACCAACATATTCTAGTATCATCCAATTGTTTTTCGTCTTTTTCATCTGTATTATCATCTTGATTTTACCCGGAATTCAACTTTACCCCAAACTTTTATTATTTTTTTTATTTCTTCTTTTTCGCGAATAATTGACTCACTAGCAATCGCTGCGAGTACCGCCTCAGTCCAAGTCGACTTGTCGAGACGAAGAAAAACAGTAACGCAGAGGGACAATTTCAACAATTTGGACGTGGTCAGAAAGCCGAGTCAGTTGCTGTTGAAATTCACAAACTGCTGAGAATCTGAACGAATAGTTAGAAGTAATGTGAGGACACGAAAAGGGCGGTGTGCCTATCTGTTCATCGTACTTGAACTTATACACCCCTTCAACTTATATGCTAATTTTATCATCAGTGACATTTTTTTAAATAGTCATGAATTATTATTTTTTTTTTACTCATTTATTTATTTTCAACTATACCTTGTATTTAACTTTTGCTAATTTACTACTGAAGAACAACTAGGCCATCTCATTTAAATTAATTTTCATTTTTTAATTCAATACTAAAAAATTTATTTCAGAAACTATTCATCCTAAATATACTTCAACACTCAGATAATTTTAGTTGTGAAATTTTACTATTTAATTTATAACTTTTAAATTTGATAGAATTTATAATAATAAAAAAGGTATATTTTATATTGTATAAGAATCGTATAAATAATATGACAAAAATTTAATAATCAAATGTAATATATATATATTGAAACCAGAGTTGTAGAATTAGAAATTTTTATTTATTCATTTTTTTAGGAAATTATTCAAATTAATTATCTTTTCTTAAAAATCTAATACTCTAACAATAGCAAATTATTCAATTACTGTTAAAAATATTTTCACTGAAATAAAACTTCATAAAAAAACAATCCAACATTTTTTTACCTCACCATGTTATCTAATAAATGAACTCATTAATTTAATTGCAGCATAAAATAATAGCTAGAGTTACGGTTAAAATTAGAGTTCTAGTATATAATGTTATTTATATTTTTTTCATTAAATATTTTTCTCTAAAGTAGTCAATCAAAATGAAGTAAATCTTCCAAACTGAGCTAGAAAAAAAAAAATAATTTTGATACCCATAAGTTTATAAGAAAACTCAATGTGACAAACAATGTCAATAAGACTGTTATAAAAGTGGTCAAATGATGACACTGTCTCTTAAAAAAAATGAAAACATGAATCGAAGAACAGAAAAAAGTAAGAAGTAAAAGCGGTGGTTTTACTAATATTGCTAAGTGCATCGTCAGCCGCTTGGCACACCACGGCTATGATACTATGCACCTAGAGCTCGTCTCTCCAATTCCTTCAACCCTTTTTACCAAGCTCTTTTGCAACTATTTCTCCCATTTTCAACCACCAACACCCTGTCATTGTGATTACTTTTCGTTTTTTATCCTTCTTCACTATTGCAAAAAATTCCAAAACCATCCAGAGTTGAAAAAAATATGGCATATTTTTTCATATGGAAATACTTAAATTTTTATTCACCTAAAAAAAAAAGTATGCTGTAAATAATGTTATTATTAGCAATAAAAATTGGATTCATTAAAATATCTTTTAATAATAATTTAATGTAATATAAATGTTGCAGAAGGATTACTTGAAGATATTCAAGAGTATTCATTCAGATCTATGAATGCTTGTATATAGGCGAGGTCACAGACTTGGTATTTAAGGATTACAGAATTTAGCATAATATTAGCAAGTAGAAGATACAACGAAGCATGGAAAGGTAACGAATATTATTCATGGATTACCTCACTTGTCTCAGTCTTCTCGATCCCTCACTAAAAGAGCTTCCATTAGAATAATTGCTTCTTCATCTTCGCGTTTCTGCTGTTCCACTGCATTCTCTCGTGGAAAATAAACTTTCTCTAGTGCGTGAATGAAACAGCAATAATAGATCTTACAAATGTCACTTATTCTAACTGTTATTACTATCATCTCTCAATAGTAACAACATTTTCATTTATGAACAAATCCATCTTTTCAACTATTAGGATAATCATCATTTCTACTCCATTATTATTCATTGTACTTGACAAGTTATGATGGATTGATTGATATTATTCGCATAATTTATGTATCGAATAACTAATTATATTTACTTAAATTTCACAAATAATAAAATTTTATTAATAAACAAAAATGTTAATACAGAAAATATCAACTATTTTTATTTTAATAAAAAAGCTATTATTGTCTATAAGTTCTTTTAACATGGAAAAAAAAATTATCTATTTTATTACAATTATCTATTATCTAATAGTGAATGTTATGGGTGTTATATTTAAAGCTTGTCGTTTTTGTAAATAAAACTTTAAACTTCATATCAACCTATACTGGATGCTTTGAAGAAACATTATTTGTATGTTCGTACGTACAATACAAACTTAAACCTCTTGCAGATCAAGAAAAGAAATATTACTTCAAGTCAGGGTTTTTCTTCTGACAAATGTTTCTTTGCATTTCTAGCCATGCAATCACAAACAGAGTGAGTGCATAATATTTGATAAAATAATATTTGCCTACGCTGATATTTCTTTTGACATTTGATCAAAAAATAATATTCAATATTATGATAATGTCATGGTGAAAATTATCACAGTAATTCATCATTTATTTTTAAAAAATGATAAAACTATTAAAAAAAATTCACGAACGTTTTCTCAATTCATTTTAGAATAAAATAGCTATTAAATTAATGGCGTTAATTGACGTTATTTAATAAAACTATTGAGGTAATTTGAATGTTGTAATTCAATTTAGCATAATAAAATAAAATAATAAAGCTTTTGAAAATTAACTCCATTAATAACTAATTGCTTGTAAAACGATAAAAATAAAATTGTAGCTCTTTTGTATATTAAAATATGAAAGTGGTAAGTCTGCTATTGCAAACAAGTATAACTAGCTTATTTCACGTCTATCAGCATAAAATAGAATTTTCATGTTGCGACAAGGTTATTCATTTACAGTATTCTCTTGTTACCTTATTTTATCGTTATTCTCCTAGAAACTTCTATAGAAGTGAATAAAGAAATTACAATGTCGATAGTAAATAAAGTCTTTTTACCTTAAGTATCTGCATCTTCTGGTGTCGCTCATAGCATTTATAGTCACAAAGCATTTCTTTTCCGATTCTATCTTCTGCTCTCTTTTATCCATCACGCTTTCTTCAAAGACACGAACGTGATCCGAATACAACAATCATCATGGATTCGATTCTGTATTTTTTCCCGATACTTACCATTTCAAATGAACGAGCAGGTTATTGTTTTTTACGTCTCTTGACACGTATCCCGTTACACCCATTTTCGTATGCGACAATCTACTACAAAGGATCAACATCATAAGTATTATTCGTCGTTAAGTGTATAAAAGCTTTCTGAGTGTTTAATAGATCCTTGGTCTGTACGAACGTTATTGTCGGCAACGAGCTCTTTTGCAACAGAATGCATCAAGCACCACCACTGCACTTTTTCTCATACCCTTTGTCGGTATGAATTTATTTTCAACCTTTTATTTCACTGTTCAATTTTACATTTCACACTCTCACTAATGATATAGGTAATTAACCGAACATTGAGAAAAAAATCAGTCCATAACTCAATTTGTATTTTTGGTAAAGCGTAAACAATGTTGCAAATCATTTATATTTTCGTCAATTTTGTTAAATCAAAAAAACTTTGTAAAATGACTCTTCTGTTGTTCCTTTATGTTTTTTTTTTATACACAATTACATTCTCATTAGAAATAACTAATGAATTATATTCATCATTGATGTATCACTGGCTTATTAATTGATTATTGAATTTTCAATAAAAGATGTATGTAATTCGTATTTACTCTATGTATAATCTAAACAATACATCGTACCAGAAAAAATTCATTTATTATAAATTGTAACTTATCTGCATTCTCTTTTTTATTCGTTCACTTATTTAATTCATGATTCATTTAACTAAACCCATTTTTTTCGCTTCCACTTCATATATTAATAACCTCCACATTTTCACAACAAATACTTCTGCTTCTTCATCCAATACCTAATCATAAAAAAATAAATAATAATTGTTTATCTTCAAATTTTGAATCATGATAATCAACCGACTTGATGTTAACTTACCATTTGTACATCATCGAGAATACCCTGTGGTGAGCTACCAGCCATTACTTTGCTGCAAATAAAATCCACTAATGTTGGCTCAGGTTCTCCAATGTATTCGATTATTTTTTTATTGATCCACGGTCGTATTCTTTTCTCCATAAGAGCCTGAATAAAAATTCAATCAATTAATTATTTCACTTAATTCAATACCATTAATCCAAACGATTAAATTTAGTTTCTTATCGTAACTCACATTGTCTATTACTGCCCAATCAAGTTGATAACCAAACAAAGCAGTTTTATCCGTAGGTATTTTGTCTATAAGTGATTTTATATGCTTTCGTTTTTCCTCTTGACTCTTTGTACTTTCTTCTTTACCTACTGCATTAATTGTATCTCCAGTACCTTTTTTCTTCTTTTCATCGCCGTAATCTAATAAAAATAGGTATATAAATTAAATTCATTCAAAGATAAGTACACATTTAGTACAATTTATTGATTAAATTTATTTCTTACCTAATGGAACGAGTTTACGTTTTTTCATATTATTGGCTGCATCATCATCGTCATCATTATTAAAGACATCTTTAACATCCATACGACTTTTTTTCTTTACTTGTCCTGTTTGTTGAGAATTAAGACCTGTATTTGGACTAGCGGGAGTTTTATTACCAACTAGATGGTCTGAATTTCGGTTACCACCACCTCCCATGGCAAATGGTACAAAATTACCTGAAATTAGTAATTAAATAATTACATGAAAAACCAACTGATTTAATAAAAACTAATTTTCATATTTGTTATAAAAATGATAACTCACTACCACTAGTTTTCTCCGGTTCACTAACTAATGACATTCGTGAATCTTCATCTTGAGTTGGAAGTGATTGTGCTGGTGTAGAGGCATTTTGAATAGACGGTGAGGAAGTATGTTTATCTTTCAAACTATCTCGTGTCTCATCGACAGACCCACTCATGCTCTCGGAATCACGATGATGATTTTGATGATGACGGTGATGCCGCCGATGATGATGATGATGTCTGGGTGGTGTTCGTGATGGTTCTGGTTGTGGTGGTGCATCTTCAAATTGCACATCGTCATCACTATCACTCTCTATAGGTTCAGTTTCAATAGGTGGCATTTGAACTATCTTTTCTTTTTCAATTTTTTCGTCTTCTTCATCAATAATCGTAATTATTGGTTTAGGTTTATATTGCTCCTCACGTTCAGCTTTCAGCTAAAAAATAAATCCATTAATTAATCAACTCAATTAACTAACTATATTTAACTTTGCAACATTTAATTAAAAAAGAAATACATACTCGTTCAAACTCTGCAGCTGGATCTGGATGAGAAGCATCCGCATAAAGTTTGTCACGTAAACGCTGAAGTTCTTGACGCTCAGCACATCGATCTCTAGAATCAGCTTCAGCTTCTATTGCTCGTTCTTCAAGTCGTCGAGACAATTCTTTACCCTTGTAATACTTGGCATCATCTCGATCATCATCATAATCTTCTAAAAATTCTTTCAAACGTGTAGCTTCTTTTTCTCGAGCTTCCCGCTTTGCTCTCTTCTTTTCAAGTTCTTTTTCGTATTCCTTTTGCTTCCGACGTTCCCTAATTTCCCAAGCTCTTAATCGTTCTTGATAAGCAGCTTCCTTTTCTCTTGCTCTTCTTTCATTTTTCTTCCGTTCTTTAGCTTCCTCTTCTTCTTCCCGTTCACGCATTATCTCTCGTTCAGTTTTTCTAGCTTCTTCTCTTTCCCGTTCTCGCTCTCGTTCACGTTCTCTTTCTCTATCACGTTCACGATCACGTTCTCTCTCACGTTCTCGTTCCCTTTCTCGATCTCTCTCACGATCTCGTTCTCTTTCACGCTCCCTATCTCGATCCCGATCATTTCTCGATCTATCACGATCTCTATCACGTTCTTTCGATCTGTTAAAAAAAGAAGATATTTATGACTTACATGATGTATAATTCTTTTAACAATTCGGTAAACTACTGTTAATAAGAATAATAAATCACCTTGATTTCGACCTTCGTTTGTCTCTCCTATCGCTGTGACCTTTATGGGACATAGGGCTGCCAAAATCACCATCTTGATCATCTCTTATATCATCATCTCTCCTATCCTTTCTTTCTCTTTCCCGTTTTTCACGTTCTTCCTTTTCAACAGCTTCCTTTTTACGTTTAACCTGCGCCTTTTCCTCCTCTTGTTTCTAAAAAAATACAATAAAATAGCCCAATTTTAATTCACATTAGTTTTGAAGATAATTTAAATTCATTAAAACAAAAAATATAAAATTAGATAATAACCAAAAGTTAATTAAGGTAAAAATTAATGGATAAAAAAAAATATTTATATTCTTATGAATATTAGCAATCGTAGAATCGATTTTTTTCATATTTAATTTGAAATAAATTGAAAATAGATATGCATATGAAAAAATTAATAGAATTCTTTAAAATAATTTTTGATAATATTAATAATGATATATCATGAAAAGTAAAAATTTAACGTTATACGTTAGAAAAAATAAATTAATGAATGATATATAAACGATTGCTGTACATAATTATTGTGATAGTTGTCTGTTTTGTTGAAGTTATACTCACTCCATAGGAGCATACTCCAGTAGATGCATCATACTTGTTATCTTGTTAACAAGTCAAAATACCTAAGTACAGGTACAAATTTTTGGAAATACTTAAATGAAATTCAACTCTTACGGTAAGATAGTAATGAACGCATCACGTAGGGACACCCAATGTACTTACAACATTGTAAATGTACCCATAGTTCAATATTATTGTTAAATAATGAAGTAATACGGTTTAATAATTTGATGTAATTTTAATAAAAATTGTTTAAGCGGTGATTGTATTTTAAAATATTATCAATATGCAATCATAATGAAATATTAATATTATGGATTATATTAATATTATTATTACTACTATTATTATTTTTATTATTATACCGGATAAACGAAGTGTAGACGTTCACTCACTGTGGCATTAACTCATTCCAATAGTTGTGTATCAGTCGAAATTGTTCCCTTCTCTTGTCGATCCAGCAAACTGTTAAATATTAAATGCACGATTGCTTTGCCCGTTTTTAATCATTCTTGTATCACGCATTTAAATATTAAATCTAAATCAAATAATTTATCTAAACAATGCATTACTATTTCCAATTTTATTTATAAACAAATTTCTAAAAATTAAGATAAATTTTATGATTTGCTTTAAAATCGAGATATTGTAATAGCAATGCATTGTTAGTTTTTTAATAGAACATTTATAGAATTAAGTGCTTCAAATCAAATGTATATATTAAAAGACATATTGAATATATAATGAATAAAATAAAAGAAAATATATAACTCATCAGTGTCCTCAGGGACTCAGGTAAGCCGAGTAGCACTAACAAAGAACTACAATAACCGGTATTATATCATGGTTGGTTGATGGTTGTGAATTTTACTCACGGTGTAAAGTCGACTTGGTCTATCAGTCAGTGTGGTGGTACCGGAGAATGGAGAAGATCACACCTAGGTACTACGTACATGTCTGATCGAGACGCTGACAGAAGCTGTTTACACAAAATAAACACAACAACTGAACAGTCTCCATAATCACATCAATGAATTTAGGCCGCTCAGTTCAGTCAAAATTTTTGATTATTTTAAATTTAGAATAAAATTAAATAAATAGAATGAAAATAATAACAAAAAAATCTGTTTCATATATACTAGTTAATTAGTTGAGTATTTAACACTCTTACTTGAATTAATTAAAAGTTATTAATATCAAAAATGAAGTTACAATTATCATAATTATTATATTAAGTTTGATTGAATGAATTTAACAAATATAGAAATAAATTTAGTTAGTAAATGTATGACGTTTAAAATTTTTTTGTTCAGTTTTTTGGTTGCATTAATCTCTGACTTACCAAAGAGGCTGGAGTCGCCTGCGAAAATATGAGAGATGTGCTGTAATTGACTCCCTTCAGAGCCAATGAGTGGGTGAATGGGTGGCCCCCACACACAGCATTCCTAGGCTTGTGCGTTTGCTGTGTGCGACGTAACGAACGCGGCCTGTTATTATAATTACAGCAACGAGTCACGGCTCTAATCGATCAGAGCTAACTTATCACACACGCATCTCACCATCAACCACTTATCATAACTAATTTATTATAACTCTATTCATTTGTTCTATATCTTATGTCACTATACTTTATATTATACCTTTGTCCATTTTGTTAAAACAAAAATTTATACTTCAAGCAGTAGCAGTTAATAGTGTCTACTGTTGAGAATAAATAATTTATAATCTTTAAGTTTTCGCAATCAATTTTTTTTTGTCAATGAGTGTATCATTTGACTAATAGACTTTTATTATTTTCCATCAATTGAATGAATAGTACGTAGACTGAATGTTTATGTGAAGTATTAAATAATTAAAAAATAACTCATTACAAATTATTTAAATATTTCAATGATAATATTGAAATTGGAATTTTATAAAGAAAAGCAAAAATCAGATGCACTCAGAAATAGGAATGATTGATTAAATAAGAAAACTACATTAAACGCGAATTTAAAAATGGTAAAAACAGTGATAATTACCTTCATAACTTCCCTGAACTTGCCAATTTCACGAGTGATTAAATCCCTCTTACTTTCCTCAATTTCGGCATCATCAAGGTTTAATGTTTTGTTGGTCAATTTTGATTGATGATCTTCTGTCGCTGACTTCCTTGCGTCTTGATTGAAAGATAATTTATTTATTAAAAAAGTGAAATTGTTATTCTCTTCAGTTAATATTTAAAAATGTAATTAAAACTTACCTGGGGCAGCTTGAGCAGTCTCTAAATCAGCTGCATGTTCCGATATGATTTGTGAAATTCGCGTTAATGCATCTTGATCAACAACTCGCATTCCTTCATCCATATAATCATCAAGATCATCACCATCCCCTCCTTCATTCGGGGTTTCATCTTGTAATGGTGATTGTCCACCTTTTAATTTCTTTCTTCTTTCAGCTAATAATATTTACAGAACAAAATAATTATTAATATAATATATAATTAATACAACTATTGAAAATAGACATTCTATTATGCTCAATAGTTCAAGACACATATTTTTTTATATTGAAGAATGAATTACCTTTAAATTGATCCAAAACAACTCTTGTTTTAGCATCAACTTTAACAACCAGTCGTTTTGTACCTATTTCCATATCATGGAGTAATCTTACAGCACGAAGACCAGCATCTGGTCCAGCATATTCACAAAATCCGAAAGCTTGTACTCTTTTCCATGATAAAACATGTCCACATGCACCAAGGATATGTCTAATCATAACATCTGGTGCACGATCCATTATATTACCAACGAAGACAGTAACCGGAGGACCAGATTCACGTTCTCTACGTTTTGGAGCTTCTGGTCGTGGTTGATTCCGTGTGTATCGAACTGCTGGTGCGGAAGTCTGCATTGCAGATACAGGTGTTGGAATCATCTAATTAAAAGTAGAGTGATAGCAAATAAAAGAAAATGATTATTAACTAAAATAAAGAAAAGAAATATAAAATGGAATAAAGAAAATAAAATTGAAGGAAAAAAGTAAACAAAGATATATAAAAGGTGAATAAATGTAATAAAATATTATGAATGAATACTCACATGTGGCATTGGCATGACACCTCCAATAATTGGAGGAGGTGCTCCAACCATATATGGCATTGGAGGCATACCCGGGATCCCCAGAGGTGGTTGTCCAGGATATGACATTATATCTTATATTTATTATTACTTGACGCTAAATACTATAACAGAGTTATCACAATAATTATGAATGACATTTTCTAACGCGTTCTCTATAACATAATTTGTTTATAATATATTGAATGTTAGACAATTTCACTTTTGTTATTAAAATAATTAATCAACTTGTAATAAAAATATCTACAAGTTTACAAGCAACTAAAGAGAAATGTAAATTAATTTTAGTGTTTATAATAAAAAAACTAATGCCAAGCCAAACTATGGTAATGGAGGTCGTTGTAACCTAACCATGAAAGACTCATTACAGGCACAAGAATGAATATATCTCTTTACCTTATGATGAAACTAATGGGTTATTAAACTTCAAACGGTACAAAATAAGTCATTTTTATACAATCACAGCTGTACTTAGACTAATTACTATTTAAATATTAATATACGAACGATGTGTAACACCACACTTTTTAGTGATATACTCGCAGCACACTGCTTTACTGAAGAGAAATTTATAAAACATAATATACTCAAAAAACATTAGCCAATTCGAATACTCTTTCAGTAACATCTCAATTGTGATTCGTTGATGAAAATAAGAGGTTATGCTAGGTCTATATTTTGATCAATCAAAATCGTTTAGTATTTCGCTCACAACGCCATCTCGTAGATGGAAAAATAACTAAAACTAAATTCTGGTGTCATTATTGGAGCCGGCATTTTTTTTATTGAATTAACAAACAATAAAAGACATAAATGTCTATCATTGTGAATTTTTAATAATATTTTTATCTATTTTCTGGTCTTTTTTCTATATTATTAAAGAAACATTATAGAAAAGTTGTAATTTGACACCTCCGGAGCATTAACAATAACCAGTCTAGACTGAAAACTCTAAATATTATTGAAACCTATTTCAATCAACTACTTTATATAATTATATCAATTATTCAACATTATGAACTATCAACATAAGGGGCAAGCATTCTGAAAAAAGTACTGTTATTAATTAAAACTAATCCTTTAAATAGTAATAAAGTTTATTTTTGTTGTTCAAACTGTTGCAAATGACCATTTTGAAAGGAATACACTACAACTCTATCTGGTGGTTAATGCTGACACTATTGAGTGAGTCACCGTGCCGGTTCAGCTGATTGTCTGAAGTCGAGAGAAAATAGCGTTCATGTCACTTTTCCTGTGTAAAATGGCAGTTTTATGTACTCCGAAAGAAATTCAGTACTCTGCATAACATTTGGGAGTGAAAGCTAGTAAATAAAAACAATTTTGTGATATAAAAACGGCTTAAACAAGTGATAAATTCAAAGTGGAATGAATTAACAATAAAAAGACAATATTAGTACATGAGTAAAAGTGTTGTTCGAATTGGTATAGTAATGTATTCGAATAGAACATGATATTTTAAATAGAATTAAATATCTTATTTTACTCCAAAAAGTATTACAATCATAAAATTAGTAACTCTAATTCGTAGAAATCACTACAACTGCATAAAAGTAACTGCAGTTTATTAATTGTGTTTATATAGGTAACTTAATTACTCATTTAAATTCGCCATAGGCAGTTGAGATTTTTGCAAGTGCTCACTAATTTAAAAATTTTTTCTAGTCATAAAATCAAAATAATTATATTTTTATTATGAATTTTAGGAATCATCAATCTATGTATATTTATGTATTATAATAAAATGTAAATTATGCCTCCTCGACGCGCAGAAGAGTGTCCTCTAAAACGAGTAGCTGCTCCAGGGTGTCGTTTACCTGCTCGTTTACCTCCTGGTGAAATATTAACTGATATTACTCAAAAAGAATGGAAATTGGGTCCAAGACTGGGATGTGGTGGCTTTGGAGATATTTATTTAGGTACTTAAATAATTTACTTTCACTTTATTATTATTTCTCATGTACTTTTAATTATTTTGCTAAAATATTATTAATAAATATTATATTTTTAGCTTCAGACGATATTCATAAGACTGTTGGACAAGATGCCAAATATGTCATAAAAATTGAACCTCATCACAATGGCCCTTTGTTTGTGGAGATGAATTTCTATATCAGAGTTGCTCGTAAACATATGAGTAAGTATCCTATGTTATATATATTATTTATAGTTAATTAAAGAAGTAATATCATCGTTATAAATCATATTAATAACTTGGCATCCTTTTCTTTCAGTTGAAGACTACTGCAACTCTCGAAAAATCAATAAAATAGGAATACCCACTTATGAAGGCTCTGGATCTCATGTGTGGAAAGGAGAAAGATTCAGATTTCTCGTGATTCCTCGTTACGGAATCGATGTAGGGAAACTTTTTTTGTCTAGTGGAAGAAAACTTCCGACAAAATTTGTTAACCATGTGGCGGTTCAAATGCTAGATGCATTAGAATATATACATAGTCATGGATATGCTCATGCTGATGTTAAAGGATCAAATATTTTATTAGATGCTAATAGTCAACAAATTTCAGAACATACGCAAATTTATTTATTAGATTATGGTCTTGCTTATCGATTTAAAACGACAGCAGGTATTCATAAGCCATTTGTTCATGATGAAAGAAGAGCACATGAAGGAACTCTTGAATTTACTTCTCGTGATGCTCATCATGGAAGTAAGTATTTATCATGCATTTGAGAAAAATATGTCTTTTTTTTTTTAGAAAATAAATATTAAGATATACTTATAATTTTTCAGCACATTCGAGAAGAGGTGATATGGAAACTTTAGGTTACAATATTTTACAATGGTTATGTGGGCGATTACCTTGGGAAAAAGAAGACGGAGGAATGCGAGCATCTATTGATCCTAACGAAATTCATGCTCAGAAAGAGCTATTGCTAGCTGATATTCCACTATTTATGAAAAAATGTTTTCCACAAAAACAGAAACCACCTGGTAAGTAATTATATTTATTTACTTGTCCAATAAAAATATAAAAAATATAAGATGAAAAAAAAATAACAAATCAAACACAAATAAAAAGTTTTTCGTTCATAAGAAATAATAAATATAATGCTCTACTTTTATTTAAATTATTACGGACAGTCTAGTTAACTTAGAAATCGCATTAAATAACGGTATTTTGATTGTCATAACATAAAACTCTAATTATTATATACTTAATATTAAAATTGTATTTTTGTTCATTATCTTTCAGCTTCCATCGAATCTTATATGAAATACATTGCAACACTAGACTTTGAAGCTAAACCAAACTATTCGTATCTTCGAAATTTATTTCGTCAAGGCGGTAGACTTGGAAGAAATAGCTCACAATTATCACGCTGCAAAAGAGTTTCAGATGAAAATATTCCATGTGACAAACCTGTGAAAATTCCATACCTGAGAGAGAGAAGACCCTGCAAACCAGTTAATGGAGAAGGACGAATCACTAGAAATACACAAACTCTAGCAGATGTAGAAAAATTTAGCTGGGAAGAAGTATTAGCAACTCATCCAGATAAGCTGGCTAAAGTCAATGTTCCATCTATGAACTCTCCCCTTACTCCACCACCATCACCTCCTCCACCTTCTTTACCAACTTATGCGATGCTTCATGTTTTGAAACGAATGAAGAATCGCCAGTCTGGAACATTGAAGCATAGAATAAAGTCATTTGAGTAAGTTGGATAAAAACTATAAATATTAATTTAATAATAAATTAAATTAATACCATCATTAATCGTTCTGTTTTTATAGTAGTGACCTAAAAGTCAAGTGGATGACTCCAGCGATGGAAGAAGTGGCACAATTAAAAAGAAATAAACAATTATTGACTAAAGCTGTTAATCAATCAGCACGTTTGACACGTTCACGTATAGTATTAAGGAAACGTAAGTGATTGGCATAATTGTTGGTCTGATATAAAATTAGTCAAGCGAAATGAACAATTGTTAACAGTTACATAAATTATTGGTACGATGAGAAAAATACTCAAAATTAAAATAAATTTTGTAAGGTAAGAAAAAATATGAACTGAATAATTCAATAAAAATGAATCTATTAATCTGATTGAATCATAATCATTGTAATAATCATTATTATAACACGTTTGAAACGAACCATGTACATTTAATTTTAGTCATGAGTTTATTATAATCATGTAGTATTGCTAGAAATAATTATAAACATGAATATAGGCATATTTCTAGTTAAGTTAAGAATTATAAATTGTATAAAATTAATTTTTATTGTTGTTAAGTATGATTGAGACAATAGTCTCGCCAATTTCTACAAGACTGTATTATTATTTTCATCTATCATTCTACTGATATGTATATATTGGTATGCAAGTTCATCATTTTTTAAGCAAAACAACTGCTTATTATATCATAAATTTTATATTCAGTAATTAGTTATAAATTCGATGAGAGGACATAAGCTTTTTTCTTCCGTTAATTATTTGAATATATATAGTGAATAATTAAGCAAAATATATCTTGCTAGTATAAAGAAATAAATCTATTAATAATATACAATAATCAAAGTCACAATTAATCAGTTAATAATCTTGATAAATTTTTTATGAACAATCGAATTTAATAATTTTATTAATTATTTTTGTTACTTTTTTACAGAATGTTTTTTCTTTTGTTATATAACAAGAATGTAAACAATAGAATTGTAAAAATATTAATTTCAGAATTTTATAAGATATATTATATTTGAATATTCAATATGTTTTTCAAGTGTCAATTAGCTGTAATTAATTAGAATCTATAACAAACAACTTTCAATCAATCCATATTCAACTTAGAATTTCAAAGTACATATAAAAATACATTGCTATTGTCGACATATACACTCATTCGATCATTGTGTATGTTAAATAAAATAAATGAAAATAATATATTTTATAGTTATTTTTTTCCCATAACAATAAATCGTTTATTTAAAAAATATCACTCTATATATTATTATAAAACCTTTGGGTTACGATTGAGATTAATAATAACTTTATAGAAAAAAATTTTTTATCTCTATTAAACGTTTTTTTTAACGTCATTTAAATAATTACCGCCATACTTTCAACGCTCTCTAACAGTGGAATTGTGTATTATCCAATATGAAGGAATATTACATATCAAAGCATATTTATGCTCGCATATAATGCATATAAATGTCGTGTTAACATATTATAATGTTTATTCGTTGAGATAAATTTAACAGAAGTTAATAATTATTGCTTAATGTAATAATTAATGATGCAAAAACAGTAACTTTGAATGTGGTTTTTTACTCTTATTGAGATATTATCAATTCAGGAACTCTTAAATGAAGATTTTTTCTGAGACTCACTGAATAATGGATAAAGTACTTATCCTTTATATTTAGCTCGCATTCTTCGTGGAGAGCATTATTCAAAAATTTTTTAACTAAAGTAATTAAAAGAAAAAAATTCATGAACCAAATGTATGTTCCCTAAGTAAAATGTATTCAAAACATCCGCGTATTCTCCCCTTATTCGTCCTAATTTTATAGTTCATTCAAGAAAAAAAAACAGTCTATTAATAAACCAAGAAATATGTAGCTAAAGGAAAGCATTCACCGGTGATAATATATGACGGCATAAATATATAATTTATAGTTTAAAAAAGAAGTAATAATTAAAGTGGGACAATTAAATTAAAAATTAAATCCATAAAATTCTTAAAAAAATATCAAAACAAACCAATGTCTATATACAAAGTGTAAAATTTAAGCATAAAACTTTTGACTCAATTACGGTCATAAAGAGAATTGAGAGCTGCGCTTTCATGGCATCAACGTCTCGAGGCTTTTCGTAGACGTTTAGTACCGAAGCATTCGAAACACTTCGCGTGGTCTTCAGAAGTCTTCAGTTGGTTCCGCGCGCTCATACGAGCAAGATGTGAAGATGTTTTGTATGTTCTTCATTTTTTCAACACAATTATATTAAACGTTTTCTCTTTTAAAGTGTTAATAATGTAATTTATTGATTCTATCAATAGGTTACGAAAAAGTGTTTCTGTAAAAAGAATGCATCTAAATAGTGGATAATTTAATAACCATATAATAGAACAATTGATGAAACAATGGCGAAAGAAACAACCGAAACTAATGTAAATACTGGAACCGACTCTGATGGATCAGTCTCCTGGGAAGACTTTTTTGGTAATTATAGTACACTAATTGATTAATTATACGTAGTAAACAATTCAACCATCAACATAAACACTCCATTTATCTTTTTTAACATAATAATAAGATTGATTTGTAATTATAAATACACTAGTTATTTTCTGAAGTGATAAAAACAAATGACAACAATTTAATATAATGAAAGATAATTGAGCAAAAAAAAGATGATATGCTTGAATGTAAGAAAAAAAAGCTAAATGGAGGAATAAAAATGAATGAAATGTCATAACCATTTAGAATTTGATAAAGTATACGATGAAAATCAGTAGCAGTAAAAGAGAACAACAAAAAATACATAGCAACACTTGAATAATTCTGGAGGATGTGATAAAAAGGGCGCGAAAAAAATAGCCGGATGCAGCTTGAATAGCTGGTGTAGTTAAATGATGCATATGAGCGTTATAGCATGCAAGAAACATCTTCCCAAAGGCTTGGAATAATAATTCTCTGAAAACATGAATGCTCAACGGAGGTCCTATCGTTATCAGTAGTTCGTCGACCGTTGTTATGACGAACCACATTGATGGTGACTTTATCGCTTCTTTGTATGTACACCCACATACATTGTATTAATGTATAGAGTCTTTAAAGAATCTCTAGACCATACGAACCATGAAATGTCTCGGCTGCATTCCTCTGTCAATTGCAGGTAGTCTTCAAGTTTACAATGACGAAGCTGTGAGCTGTTTTACGTATAAGGCCAAACGTAAATGATCTCAAAGCTCTGAGGCGCAACATGTCGCTGTAAGATCCGGTTTTCTCATCAATTTTATTTTCTCCAACATCTCTGGATCCATCAACCTCTCTTAAGTACTTCAACTGCACTCTATTATAATATCACTTTTTTTGTATCTCCAAAGAAACATAAGAAAGAAATGTGAGCATGAAATCTGTTGGTTAATATATGGATATACAGCAAGATTGAGAATGAATATCCCATACAAGTCTTAGTATCAACGTCGAACGTCTCCCACGCGCTTTCCTTTGCGTTGGCTCGTGTCTCTGGCTCAGCCAGTCTAATTCTCGTAAGTCTCTCATAGGCGTAGGTACATTTTTAGCTGTGGTGTTTCATTTTCCACATAGAGAACAGAGATTCCGTAGTTCTCGTTATCTTTGTAGGCTATACTCATGCAAAGGTGGAGTCTGGTTTAACTCTCTGTGCCATAAAACCCGTCAGCCACGTGCCGCACGTGTGTATTGTATATTAGAAGACGATCAGCTGCTCCATCGTGCTCCAGCAACACTATGCTCCTTTCTTCTTGGTGAATACGACCGGTTTTCGTGCATATAGAACCTCGCCCGATGCTTTTATTTTCCATGTCTTATTATAGTGCATCAGCTACCATGTTCTAGTATGCAAGAAAGTGGCCAGAAGGTCCGACGACTTCCCCGTGAACTCTCTGCGGCTAGTCACGCGACGCTCAATATCCACCACTTTTTCTCATTTTTTTCACCTGGTTTTTTGTTTCTCTTTCATTTCACTCAGTGTTCATGACTTAAATACTTGAACAAATAGAGAGATAACTACTCTGTGATATGGCTAATAAAACGATTGTCGTCAAACGTGTAATAAAAGTTTTATGTGAGTTGTAAATTTTTAATCTTGATATGAAATAAAAAATGCCAGTTATTGAGAAATATTTTTATTAGCTGGTAAAAAGAAATAGGTCGAGTTATAATTTCTTTTTAGACAGATAGCATTACACCGTGGAATTCGTGTTTGTAATGAAAATGAAATCTATATCTTATATATTCCTGAATAGCCTTCCGGTATGCTTGGAGTACCTACTTGATCATCAGAAAAAGAGTGTATTTTTAGCTTGGTATCATATTGAAGCCAGTGTACATAGGCACACTTGAGTTATCAAATGTCCCTTACACTTCCGACCCATTTCATCTTATCAAACTGGAATTAATGCTGGAGTATATAAATCGATAAGATCAGCTCTGAATACGTGTTTAATCAAAGGAATCAGGGCAATCAAGTTGACTAAAATCAACATCAAGTACGAGGTCTTGTTGCTAGTTGTTCACGGTGAATGTAACGGAAAATCCAATACAAGTCGAGATCATGTCTTTTTAAAAGATGCAGTAGTAAGAGATGCGAAATGCAAGGCGCCGTTTCACCCAAGAAAAAAGATCCGCCGTCGGATATCCGAGACATAAGAGAGAGCATTCAACGCCAAGCGTGGCGCCACATTGATGCCAAGCATTCCACTTTCGGACGATTCGATGTAGAGCCAACTTATTTGTACGCGTATCAGACTCAATAATTGTCTTCAACAGCATTCAACATTTACTGAACATATTCAACTCACATATTATACCTAACTCTCACCAATTCCATGCCTATTAGCAATTTTCTCAAATCGCCAGTCGCTTATACTTCCGTTAGATTATCTACTGCATCCATCAACTATGCCTCCAACTATTTTATAAGCTTTAAAAATTTCTTCTGTGCAATTGCAACTGAAATAAGTCTTATATTTTCTGCTAGATTTCAGGAAACGTTTGGATCTTGATAGAAAAATTTTTTATAAATAATATGTCATAGTTAAATTTATGAGAATATTATTTTTCTAGGTCTTTTAGCTTAGATTAGATATGTACTCCAGCAGGGAATCAGTTATAAAATGATAAAGAAGATTTAATAGTTTTAGAGTTGAATTATAATCAGCAAATCATTATGCTGAATTGATTTCTTTATTTTTGTTATTCACAGAAATTCTAAAGAAAAAAACAAAATTGTATTTTTTTCTCTCATTATACATAAAAATAAAATAAAAAGAGCTGTAAAAACGTGTTACACTGCGGATAAAGAGAAAAAAATATCCATAATGAGAGACTTGGGTACTAATGAATACTTTATGTAAATATACTCTTAAATTCTTGAAATATTTAAACATTACGAAAAAAAATTGCTACTTTTTTTCACGACGCTTCCCAAATTCTTCAATGTAATCTCAATATTATCTTAACCATTCTTTTACTTTTTTTTTATCTATATTTAAAACTTTTATGTTCAAATAATCTTTTTATATTTTTTGAACCACTCTTTATACTCTAAAACTAAAACATATGAAATATTTTTAACGTTACATTTTTTTTTAAAATTTTAAATACTGAAATTTATCATCAAAGAAGTAGTAAAAAATGAATAATTTATTACTCTGATGAAATTTATAAATGTAAAACAAGTACAATATATAACAGAAATGATTGTCGCATCAATTTATCATCAACATGACTTCCTCGAAGATTTAATCCTCTCATAAAAATTCCAACGCTTATCTCTGATAATTATAAATTCATTCATATCATCCTTCTTCATTCTTAATTGATACAATGTTCTTTGCATAAAGCTACAAGCCTAGCCGAAGCACGATTGGCAGTCAATGAGTCACAGCAAGAATATATACAACATATAGCTAGTTGCGTCGTCATTAATCGTGATGATGAATCTTTCCCTCTCCTCCATTGTCTGATACTTCAAAGCGTGCAGATCTAGAGGGAATTGTTGGAGTTAGTTAAATAGTGAGTAGTAGTCATTCGGTAGTTGAATGTTTTTTCACATTAATACTATAAACTCAGATTCAAGTTTAAAACAAGTATATACAGTTGGATAGCTAGATTAGAATTGACTGGTGAGTGGCTTGGAGTACTCACAGCAACATTAGAAGAACTCCTATCTCTTTAGTGTCTACCTGTTGCTCAGATGGAAAGCAACTCGCGTTTAAAATCTCAACTACACATTACCTAGAACAACATTAAGCATAAAACTTATGTTGTTGAGCGCGTTGTAAACGTGAGTAATACGTGATAGAAAAGATAGCAAAGTTATTTAAATGTGAGTGAAAGTCTCATATAAGAATAATCAGATTTAATCTCAAACTAATATCAACAGTTTATTTATTTTAAATTATTTTTGCTCAACTTTTATTAATTAAACACTAAATAATAGAGGTTTTGCACAAAGATAATTTATTTAAAAAGATAAATAGATTAACTGATGTCTTATCTTCATGCCACTTAATCACAGATAAATACTTATAGTGTGTAATCAACTTGATACAAATATCTACTTTTGTTCATGGATTTGAAAATAATATAAGTTTTAATGTGTAGGAGTGAATATAACAACATTTAGTTACTTATTCATTTTCACCAGAAAATTTAAATTATCATTAGTTAGAGGTTTAAATAGAAAACAATAGTGATTTCGACATTTTAAATGCGGATATTTTTTATGTAATCAACTTAATAACATATTACAAAGTCTGAAGTATAGACAAAAGTGTGACTAATTATATTGCTAGAAAATAATCAAGAACCCGAATGGGTTTGATAATTGTTTAAATTGTCTGAGGAAAAATTGGGTCGTGATAATACTTGATATATAGCAGCATTAAAATTTAATTAAATATACAGTTTAATTGAATGACTGACATTAAAAAGCTAGGATTAATGAGGTATTAGCAGATAATTGGTTAATATCTACAGTCTAATAATTATTTATAAAAGAATAGAAAAAAAAATTCAAGGATTAACTTGGAAAAAAGATACTCAAAGTCACGAGAGAAAATATGAAACTCGACGCCAATGTAAACCTTATAGATACTCGTGATTCATCCTATGGAACGCGAATGCCTTCTCGCCTTCAGTGGGATTTCCACCCGCCTTTGTTACATTTGTCACAAATCACCAATTTTTTAAACAAATCAATGTTCCATTTTTTTTTCATTTCTTTATCTGTTGTAACAGATAAAGAAAGCGAGGGGAAGTGATTGATGTAGTTGAGCTCTTAAAGCCTACCACTCACGTGGAATGTCGCTTGGACACGTGACACCACTTGGAGTCTCGAAAATGCAGACCGTTGCGCAAGTGTCATGTCTTGGCTACATCCGTGTTGAATGGTATGTTTATTTGGCGCCTGAAAGAACACCGGATCATGCCTATCAAAGAAGTTGTATAAATAGCTGTTGATATGCTTTTATTCCATGTGCTAAACATTCAAAATATAGTGATTAGTATCGTTCACATGATATAGAATAGATGATAGAGCAGTAGGAGAAGATTATCGCTGCTCATTTCACTGAGGGGCTACTGTAGTGATCTTTACTAAAATATCTTGAACTATTTTTGACCCTAATATTATGCTTAGAGTTCTTGGTGTATTATTTTCAATATTAGTGTGAAATAAATCATCTTTTGGCTTGGTTTATTACTTCTATAATACTTCAGTATATCACTTAGAACTCTAAAGAAGCCCATTGTTGAGTCATTGATTGACGAATTAATATTTTCTAAGTATCAAATACGAACTACTAGGATAATACTTTGCTAAATCTTATCTTAGATAATTACTTCTTGAAATAATCTATTGTCAAAGTAAATATATGGTTAAAAATTTGATTTATTTACCAGACTTTTTAGAGCTAATTTAGTAGATTATCAAAAGACTGATAAAATAGCTGACGTAGTTTTTGAAATAACCGATTCAAGTATTTTAACTGAACTAAAAATACAAACGTACTCAGGATTGCCCATCACTACTTCAAATACACATAATTTATTATCAACTGATTGTAAAATCATTAATATAACTGAGCTATAATTAAATGATTCATATCCCAGAGACGTTTGAAAGCTGGTAACGATGTATAAAATTATAAAACAGAGTGTAACTTTATGGTTAGAATTAAAAATGACAGTTTAAGTAATATTCCGGAAATGTTAGATCTTTGAATGAAATGGTAATAAAAAGTGTATTAATATCGATGTAGGAGCAGAGAAAGAAGCAGGAGCTAATGCTCTCCGGGTTCAATGCTCCTATATGTGTGGTATAGAAGCCGTTGCATGTGCAAGTCGTGTGCTTGCAGTCACGGCAGTAGTTGGTAAGAAATATTTTGCTCTGGATTGTGTACAAAGTTTCTCGTTTAAGTCCTGACGAGCATCCTGTTTCACCCCAAGTTTATACATGCGAAAAATCAAACAAATAAAAGTACTAGAAAAAAAAAAATATTTGTTTGCAGGAACGTCGACAGACTTGGTACCGCAGTTACTTGGGATGTTTGATGAGTTAGCGCGAAAGGCTGAGAGTAACCACGGGGAGCAAATACCAGCAGCGATTCAAAAACGCTTGAGTCTGGTAGCACATTCTCAGCGCAACTCCATATTCGGTCACATCTGTGCCAACTCGCAACGTGAACTACCAACGATGCAAGAGCAACAACGAATCCAGTCTGCAGACGCCACAGTCGAGCCAGCAGCTTGCAGTCGTGTGGAAATAACTGTTTGTAATGCTGAAAGAGACAACGAGAGTACACCAGTAGGGTCTACTAATGATGACAAGCCGATGTATTGCTGTGAGATGACCACTGGATTGATGCCGGAGTATGGTAGAAGACGTAAACACCTCGATAGACCCCTCTCTGGCAGCTCAATTGCTTCAAGCACGTCCTCAAGTGGATGCAGTAATCAAGGAAACGCTTGTTCCGCTAATCCGTATTTGGCATCTGTCGAGTCACTGGCCGATACCTGTGCCAGCTCCCAAGGTTAGTGGTTACATTGTCACATTGTTACTTCATCACACTCACTCACTACTTGTTTCAATTCCTGAGAAAAACAAACGACTTTAATGGTACATCAAAAAATTTCTATTATTTTTTTTTGCATCTAAAGAATCGTTTATATTTACTTTAGGGTCAGGTGATAGTGGAGTCATGACGACATCAGGAGTCAGCTGCAGAGCTGAAAATGGAGAGAATGAAGAAAGAAATAGTAGTGCTAAAGGTTCACCACTTTTATATCATCGTGCACGATATTACGATCCACAACGTAACCCTGTTGAAAGAGTTTTATTGGAGATTGTAGACACTGAGGCTGTTTATGTTGAACATCTTCGACAAGTAATTGAAGGCTATCTGATATTTTGGCGTGATGAACCAGCTTGTCTAGTACAGCAATTGCAACTTAATCATTTATTCAGTAACATTGAAGATATATTTAGGTTTAATGGAGAGTTTCTCAAGGAAATCGAGGCCTGTGGTTTAGATCCCGTAAGCGTTGCGCACACATTTACGAAACATAATGCGGGTTTCAAGGTTTACACTGAATACTGTACGAATTATCCAAGAACAGTGTCGGTATTGACCGATTTAATGAGTCGTGAAGATACAGCTAAAGCTTTTCGCGAAAGACAAGCAGCATTAGGTCACGCATTACCACTTGGATCGTTTCTTTTGAAACCGGTACAAAGAATTTTAAAGTATCACTTACTCTTGGAAAATTTATCCAAGGAATATGAAGCCGATGAGAAGAGAAAGGATATGAAAGATGATAGAAATGCCATTGAGGAAGCGTTAGCTGCTATGACTGGAATTGCTAAACATATAAATGCCATGAAACGTCGTCACGAGCACGCGGTTCGTGTACAGGAAATTCAATCATTATTATACGGATGGCCCGGGCCTGATCTCACTACCAGCGGGGAGCTGATTGCCGAAGGAAGATTCAGGATGCGAGGAGCTAAAGCACCCAGACATGCCTTTCTCTTTGAACGAATGCTACTGCTGACTAAAAAGAAAGAGGATGGATTGCTTGTTTATAAAGCTCACATTATGGTAATTTTTATTTTCAATTAAGAAAAACAGGTCACAATGAAACCCTTCAATTTTTAAATCATTTTCTCAATCTATATTATTAACAAAATAACTTTTTTTTTTAATTAAAAAACTATTTTACTTTTATTTATGATGACATTAAAAATTATAAGTTTCTTTTTATTCAGTTATTATAATTATGTTGACCATTTAAAATTTTATTTGTTTTATTATTCAGTGTTCAAACTTGATGCTAATCGAAAGTATCCCGGGAGAACCATGCAGTTTCCACGTCATACCTTTTGACAATCCACGACTGCAGTACACATTGCAGGTAAGCATATTTAGCTTTTTATCATTTGAAAAACTATTCGATTAATAAGCTATTGAAAAGATATAAATCGTTGACATTTTTGTTCGTTCAATAAAAGGCTCGCAACTTGGAACAGAAAAGGGAGTGGACATTGCAAATTAAACGAGTAATGCTGGAGAATTATAATGCAGTTATTCCAATTCACGCCAGACAGTTAGTACTTCAGTTGGGTCAAACCCAACACGACGAAGATGGCAATAATGATCGAGGATCAGCCAAGAAATTGTATTCTGCTCCACCAGAATATTTAAAGAGACGTAAAGTGGAAAAAGAACGAAGACGATCCGAAGCAGGATTAAGACAAAAGAAGAAATTTAGTAAAATGGATAATTCAGCATTATTAACTGTAGAAAATTCACCACCATCATCAAGAAAAAGGCAATCAGCCGAGAATTCAAGAAACAGCAGTCGAGATCCAAGTCTTAATCGATCGTTAGATAGTGGACGTGCATCCAAAGTAAAAGATCGTTTCACTAATTGGCGTCGAAAATCTGAACCAGGCTTCCAGTCTTACGTATCATTTAATCAGTCAGACGATGAAGAAAAAAGTGAAACCATTTCGCAATCAGAATCAGCTACACAAGGGGAAGTAATAAACGTCAATTCAACAAATGAAAATGATAATTCAAACGAGTCACAAAGTACATTAGCAAGTAAAAGTTTAACGGTAGCGAATACCAAAGATGTTAATGAACAGAAAACTCAGGTACGAACCGTTGAAGAAATAGTTGGGCACATTCTCATGCAAAATCAAGAATTCCAAAGATTATTGGAGAAGCAAAGAACAAATAGTTTAGCTAATGTTAGACAACAACGTTTTAAAAAACATCAGAGATCCGTTGACACATCTGATGACAGTGATAATGGTGAACAAAATTATTCAACAGACTTTGGAACTAGTGTCAATAACAATAATAATATGCATAATAATAGTAATAGTAATAATATAGGTAAAAGTAATCGGCCAATACGGAATATCCGCCGTGAACATCGATTTTTGAGATCTAATAATGCATGGAATAGTCTTTCACCTCCATTGTCCCGTGAAAATCAATCGAATTTACAATTACAATATAACAATCTTCATACTGATAGTGAAAAATCGGATATTATTTCTAAAAATAAAGTTAATCGAGTTCATGAAAAAAAAGCTGTATTTGAGGCATTTAAAAGACAGAGTATTGTGACTGAAAGTAAAATAATTAGAACGGCTTTACGTATGAGAGAAAATTCGGGAGGTGAAGAGAAAATGAATGATACTACTGATGAAAAAGTTGAGGAATTCAATAATGACGAAGATAAAAATAAAACGAAAGTAAATCTCACTGCAAATGAAAGTTCAGAAAGCAATTTCGGCAATTACGATAACTTGCAACATATTTGGAGTGATTTAAACACGGAAAATCGATCAAGAACTGGCAATCATGACAGTCCAACACGCCCAGCTATTTGGTTAACGAAACTTTGTGAAGGCTTGCCAACATCACCACTTAAAAGTGGTTCATTACCTCGAAGTTTTCAAATCAGTCCAAATCCTCCACAAGGTATTACTAAAGCTAGATTCCTGCAGAGAGACGGAAAGCCTCTAAGTGAAAGACCATTCACGATTGCATCAGATAAACCGGCTGAAATAAATCTAGAAGATATGGAGAGATATGCATCTTCTTATCAGCCTGAAGAAAAAATAGCTAAATTTCCAATCTCAGTTTCTTCAACATCCTCATCATTTTTTTGCTCTATTGACGATAATTTAACTGATGTAGATTCGGATGTTCATTCAACAAATATTCATCCTGATCATAAAATTTATCGAGCAAATATCAGCGGAAGCACAATGTTGAAAAACGTTCTATCGAAAGCCGGAAGTCGATTACAAGGACTTCGGTCAACAGCTAGTGCTGAAACTCTCGAATGTACTGATTTCGATAAAAAACCTTTATCATCACCATCAAATAAAAATAATACAAAATTTAAAAAGAAAAAATTTAAATCAAGATTGTCGTCAAGAGAATCATTCACGGACATTGATGAGCCAACTGTTGGATGCTTGTCTAGCCATAATTCTTTCCTTGAGAGTTCATCTCTATATTATAAACAAGGAAGTTCCGGGCTCGGTGCAAGAATTGCACAAGCGGATTATGCAGACCCGTCAGTTCTTTTCTTCGATACTAAACGATCAGAGTCTAATAATGCTGACAATGTATCCTCATCGCTTGTGAATTCTGTTTCAAATCTAAAAATAGAAACGAATCAAGATGAGACATCTAGTGATAAACAAAGACTTCTTAGTGATGGTGAAAATTTTTATGAAAAATGTTTCGAATCAATTGAGAATTATGTTGATGAGACTGACGATGCTTTCAGGGATAGTGCAATATTTAGCGATGTTGAAGAAATTACTTTATCACAATTTTCATCAAACATATGTAATAATGATACTGGTAACAGTAGTAGTAATAATATTAAAAATGATATGTCAAGTGCTTTCATCAAACAAAAAGTGGCACCTCCAGTTCCTATGAAGCGTAAAATTAAAAATGAAAATTATACGTCTGATAGGATAAAAGGTGAACGACTTGAGAATTCTAAACCTGATACACCACCGAAACCAGAAAAATTAATTTTGCGTACAAAAATAATAAATGACAACAATGATGAACAAAATCCAAGCTTTAAAACTTCAGTATCAAAAGAAATATCTAACAAATCGATGTACTCTACAGCGGTCAAGCCATTAAAAATAAAAAATAGTATTGAAGATGATAAGAATGATATATCGGCAGGACAGAGTCAAGCAGGATGGGTTAAAAGAATGGTTGGTCAATTACAGGCTCAAATTGAAACCTTATAATAAAAATAGAATAATTTTGTAAACGAATTCATTACTGATAGTACATATCAGTATTTTCCGCCAATAATTTAAGCAATAATTTTTTTTATATTGAACAAATTAGGGAAATGAAAGTCAACTTTTTGCCATAAAGTACAATTACGTTAGTATACGAAAGAAATTAGTATTCATATCTCAGAAAAGTGGCAATAAAAAACATTTTCACATATTTAATTAAATGTGAAATAATTGTGAGCATTAATAATGCATGAAAACTAAATTTATTTAGCTATACATAAAGTATATTATTACTTTATAATGATACATTATTAGATAAATGATAGAAAGAAAATTTTTATACTCTAATTACGAAATAAGCATATGGAAAATATTGCTTAAAGTGTCATGATTAAACAAATTATTTAGTTTATATTTTGAGATACGTTTTTATTAAGAGAACTTTTCTATTTACAATAAAATTTTGGCTAGTCGTGTGTGTACATATAAGTAAATAAATAGTAGGCTATTATTATCATTGATAATAATATTTCATAATAATTCTAATGATAATAAATTATTTTTCGCAATACTGTATTTATACAAATATCCTACGATAAAAATTATTGTTCGGCAAAATGAAACAATGTTAATACACAGTATGTGCAACTGTAAAAAGGTGTATTGATTACTTTAAAATCCTCTATTCCTCTTACATGCCACTGACTATAATATATCCTATTTTATTCTGCTATTTCCCAAATATCAGTCCATCATTATTGTATTATTAATATTTATTTCATGGTTTTTATGTATAGTTATTTCGATAATAATCTCATCTTTATGGTGTTCTGTTCACTGTATTACTATTTTCGACTTTTCTTAATACTTTTATTAATTTAATGTTGGGTTTAAACAAAAATTTGTTTGATACATTTTACTAATGATAAAAGTCAATCTATTCTATCATATTACGTGCTTAATAGAGAATGTTTTAGATTTTATTATTGCAAGAATAATTTTTATCTCATTTGTTTCTTTTCATCTTCTCTTTCTATACATTTTATTTTTTTAAACTTCAATCAATTATTACCTGAATATTAGAAGATATTTTTGAGGTATTTTTTTACCATGTCATCTACAGAAATTGGCGAAATACAATTGTTTGTTGTTTAATCATAATTATATGTTTATTTTAAAATTTCACAACATGGAAATTTTTGTAATTTCGAATTTTTTCAATCTAATGAGTTTTTGAGAATTCATTGTCTAAGCAAAATGTATATATATATATACATATTTATTCGCTTGCTATGTTATAGGTTTATATCATATACTTTTCATCCTATTTGTTGTGAATTCTTTTAAAATATAGCTTTGTCTCATGAATTTTTTTGAAAAATTATAAAAAAAATAATTACTGTCAATATGAATATGTTAATAAATCCAACACAACGTACCTGGATTATTATATTTGGAAAAAAATATATTTTGAGACAAAGCCAATATTAATCTGGTCATATCGAGCAGGTACATTTTTCGCTGTGCTATTTTTTAATATTGAAAAGACTTTATTTCTCATAAATTCACGAAAAATATTCGGGCGCTACAATTCTAATCTTTCATTCGAAAAATAAAAATGATATTTTATCTTTTCCTTTATAATTCAAATTAATCGATAGGACATTTAATGATTACTAGAGTTGGTGATTGGTGAATAAAATATTAGTATCATGAATATTTCATTATAAAATGCCCATTCTTGATTACATAAAATTATTGTCTTGATATTAATAAAAAAATCTGTCAACAAAATATATAATACAGTAATCGGAAAGATTATTTTGTTAAATAAAAAATATTACAAGTTTGAGATCCGGCAATGTTTTATCACTGCTCGAGGATATGTTTAAATTTTCTCCAAAAATTAAGAAGAAATTACAATAATAATTATTATAATAATTACAATGATAATAAGTAAATACACGAAATGCTGACTTATTCCTTAAATATTATTATAATTAATCACTTAATTATAACATAATCTTTTAATAACTGTTGATAGCTGGGATTGTATTTTTATTGTAAAACGTGTTTAAATTTAATTACGTACTTAAAGGGGAAGACATTCAAGTATGTAATTGTTTAAATGGATCTTTTAAAATTTAATTAGTACATCGATCGTATCGATTTCTATTTATTATTAGTTAAATTGAGTTGATAATTGTTAAATTGGTGTTCTTTTTTATAAGAATAACGTTTTCTTCTGCTAATCTACCTATTATGTATTTTCTTTGACATTTTATAATTTATCAGCGTGGCTATTTTCTTTCAGCAATCAATAACAATGGTTTAGCAGTTCCTTATGTCCATAGCATTTGTGGTGTAAATACTTTATTTACTTATACGTATATCTTTTTGATTTTCCAATATCTATACATATTTACACTTTTTCTTAAAATTTTCATTATTTTATCTCCGCATAATTTAGCTCTTTATTCTTATAATTATTATTCATATCAATTAAACATTTCTATACATACATACAAGAATAAATAAATTTGACAAATGTAACATTCATCAGCATTTCAACTGTAGTCTTACGTTTACACCACTTATGCTCGCGGCACTCTAATATCATTTACTTAATTTTCTCTTTTCGTTTACCTAATTGGCAAAATTTTTTTTTTAAGACAAGTATTTATTTTCATAAAACTTCGCGCCAAATTAAAGTGATTAAAATTCATTAACAATTTTGTTAATATCAAAGGCTTTAAAAAAAATATTTTTGAAAATTTAATAAATTATTAAAAATGATATCCCGTCACATTTATTATAATCTAACTATTGAATTAAATGAAAAGTTAACTTCTCTTTTTTCACTTACTTTTTTCTATCAAAGTTCACTTTAAAATTGAAGGTAGTATTTCCATACTTGCATAATTGTCATCGAATACTTTATTAATACTACAATAAATCGTTAATTAATTCATTAATTGAATACTTTGGTAAATTAATATCAGAACTATAATGAAATTTAATCTGATAATAAATACATAATAGATAAAAGATAACAATAAAAATGACTAATGTCATTCCTATTATTGCTGCAATTATTAATTATGCACCAATTGATAAAATGATTTTCCTACTTGTGTTCAATCAGTAATAATCAAAAGAAAAAGTTAACGTTTGAGTATGTAAGAAATAATGAAAAAATCGTCTTTTTAACTGGAATTTCTTTTCATATCACATTATCCCAGTAATTAAAAATCTGATGCTTATTAAAGAAATATAAAGGCGTAGATCCCTAAATTACATACATTTGTCTAATCACCTACAGGTTTCAATCATTGTCTCCTTATTTAGTAATAAACGGGAGTTTGAATTTAATCACAAAACTGCATGCTTTCCCTATTTCTCGTAAACATCAACTTACTTTTAATAGTATTTATACTCCGTTTGATGCACAAACCCGTTTTATTGGCAAAACAGAACCGGAACTTGAAAATTAATAGCTGGCTTCATGTCCAGCGAGTATATACAAATCTGCTCCTTCGGATTCTGTTAATGTGCCTGAATGGACTAAATGACTTTCTAACATTACCACTCTAAAAACAAAGAAAAATTGATTTTATAAATAAACTGGAACTAATCATCTATTTATAGACTTAGAGATTTTATAAATCGATCAAGATTAACGTACTTGTCAGAACCCAGTAATCTGTATGTTCGACTTGGATCACTTATTTCCTGTGTTATTTCTCCATTTTTATAACTTCTCCCTTGCATTCCATGCTTATGAAATGCTAGCACGCTGTCAGGTAGACAAACTACATAAACCGGAAAGTATATGTTAAAAAGTTGTATGATTAATGTAAAAGAAAGAATGACGACAAGGTTTTAAATCGACTTTTACATCTTTGAGATTACGTTTATAATTATGGTAATCACTCTATATTTATTTATGGAGCAAATAAAAAGATTAAGATAGTCGATCTAATTTCTCAATGTTCTCTTTTTATAGAATGAAAAATACTCACTGATTGATTCGATTTGGAAATTGAATTGTAACTCAGATAACTGTTTTTTACTTGTCCGTGGTTTTCCTTGTAATGTTACAAACTTAACAACATCTATAAATTAAGATATACAAAATTATTACTTATTAAAGTTTGAAAAAATATGATTATTCAAAATTGCAAATTATCCTTACTGTCATAACAGACAAGAATAGAATCTTTTTCAAATTGCGTGACATTTATTACTTGTAAATTTTCTCTTCTTGGAATAACAGTCGCTATAAAATAGATCAGTAAAATATTCATTTAATTAATTGGTAAAAAAACAATTTAAATATTCTATAAATAAATAATACCTGAGCCGTCTATATCCTCTAATTCATCACTATGAAACCAGCTAGCGCCAGAGTTCATATTTATTAAATCAAGTTTTAATTTATTTTGTTGATAAGCTTGTTTAACAGATACGCAAACCATTGGATATTCCATTTCTGGTGTGATAATCATTTCGAAAACATTTAGTGGTGAAGGTAGTGAACATTCGAAATGTTTTAGCAGCATAAATTTATTCAGTGGATCATACCACTGCATCAAAAATATTCCAGCAGGCATTGCACCGCAGAGATACTTATAACTAAATAATTATAATAATAAAATTATTGAATAATTTACTTTAGTTATCAAAAAAAAAAAAAAAATTAACATACCCATTGTAAGGATTTCTACCAACGCAGCATTTGCTGCAACCTTTTGTATCAGGTACTTTAGTTGTTAAAGCAAATTTTCTTGGAACTAATCTTTCCGGTATTTTATTCATATGCAAAGAAAACCTATGAGTTTGCTTACTTTGCATTGCTAATAGATCATGTCTATATAATTGCGGTGTTTTTCCTAAAAAAATATTGAAAATGAAAATAGTAATATTTAAAAAATAATATGTATTATTTATAGAAACACTCTTCTCTACCTGATAAAGACATTAAAACATCTTTAATAACATACATCCATATTGTACGTCTAGGATACAGTTGGTCAATTGCTGTTTCATGGAGCTCATTGAGATTTAAATTGTAAATTCCCTCTTCAGCAGCAATTAACAAGTGCTGATCTCTAGTATCCGGATGAATCCAACTTGCGGTACAATGTATTCTTAAGGGGCAACCATTGAATACCTTAAAAGAATTAATGTGAATAGATTACATAAGAAAAAAAAGTTAACAAACAAAATTACCTTAGAAAAACATGCTCCCATGTGAACCTTTGGTGTTGGTGGTAACCCATTGCTTGTAGGTCTCGGAGGAGTGTGTCTCTTTCGATCCCTTCGTCGTGGAGGAACAGGTGGAGTGTCAGAAAGTAAATCAGGTCCAACACCTTCTTCATCGCCATGGCTCGATGACTCTTTATCACCTAAGTTAAATGGCATGACATCAGTTAGTAAAAGTTACTTCAAAAGACACAGATGATTGACTATGTTGAATAGAAAATGAAATGTTTAGATGTGTAAGTAAAAGACAAATAAAATAATTGAAATCTATTAAGATGTTCTAAGAGCTACAATATGTAATTATGTGCGATCTAGAGCATGCTCTAAATTCAAGGTGCGTGCTCCTACCATTACATCGTGAAGAATCATCTCTAGGCCCACTGTCCGATAATGAACGCTGACGTGAAGTGTTTCCGGATGATATTGACAAGGAACCGCTCACCAGACCATACAACTCGTCCACAGAGCTGTGACGCCTGGGACTTGCTTGTGACCCTATACACCCAACCTACTTTTTACGCTACAGCTTTTTAGTTAGATTAAAAACAAAATCGCTATAAATACTCTAATCTAAATAGAAGCATAAAATACTCTTTGTTTTTTCTTCAATTAAAAAAATAATAGTTCTTTTCCACAAAAGCAGAAATTTCAGCTTTAATAATATTTAATAAACATAAAGATGAGTATTATATTCCAGTCATCCAGATTTTTTTCAGAAAGACCTTTAAAAAATTTAGAGTAATGAAAATATTTAAAAAAATTACTTTCACTAATCACTGTAAAAAAATAATTGAATAAATAAGTCGTAAATTTTGCTATAAATACATGCGCTCGCATGCTAGTTTGAAAATTTACATAATTATAGCACTAATATAATATAATAATAAAATTAATGGTTCAATTAATATAAAAACGCTAGAAGCATTTAATGAAAAGGTATACACTAGATTAATTTGCATTGAATGTACCAAGTAAAGTTGCACATTGTTAGCATGTGAAAATTATACATCTTGAAGTATTCTAAATATGCTGTACTTACCAGTTAAATTGGAATAGAAACTCCGATGTACTTCGCATTCATTAGAAGATTCGCCAAGTGGAAGTGTGGCTCTGAAAGAAATGCATAGTTTAATATTCTATACTCCCGTTTGTTTCACATAAGCATGTAGAAAAAAAAATTGACATAAAAATAAATTCATATTAAATATTTCATTATTTTAAACAATAATAGCAACAAGAACAACTCATTCATCACTAATTGACATAAAATGATGGATTAATTGTGTGAAAAAAAAATTCATGTCAATGGATACTTGATTAGAAACAAATACAACATAAATATCATTAAATAATATAAAGTCTTCAGATATCTACCATTTTCATAGGCATGATTAGAAAGTAAGTTAAGATAAGAAGAATAATTACTCGTAATTTCGTAAATCAGTAAATAAGGAAACTGAGAAGAAATGAAAATAATAAAACTGAGAGTCTAGCATTGCATTGAAATACTTACTGCAGGGAGTATAGCTGGTCGCAATGCCCATCAACCATTGACATTGCATTTCCCCTGCACATATAAAACTAATGTCATCCACAATCTGATGAATTACCTTCATATTGACTCAATTAATTGTCGATCGTTTATATTTAATCATCCTTTTATTTCTCACGTTAAATAGTATTTATTAAATTAATATTAACATTAATTAATTAGATACTTTTTTTGGTATTTTCTCTTTGATTACATTTAAAATTTTCCAAACTACTAAGTACAAGACCATATTATTAACGAGTTTGTTTATCAATTATTATCAATCTACTGGTTATTAAAAACCCATGCTCGATTAATACACTCTTTAGATTAAGGTTGTTATAATTATCCTCACTATTTTTACAAATTAAATGCAAGACGGGCAACAAGCAATAAAATAACTAATAATGGATTTTTCGTACATTCTTCTTCAATTAAACTGCACGAGTATTTGTACAGGATAGAGTTTTTTTCAATGATATCATGATTAATGATTAATAATTTATAAATGATGATTAACAGTTGAAATTAAAATATAATGCATGAAATGAAAAAGAAATTAGTGCCAGGGGCAAGGAAAAAGGTTACCTGCCGATACCTTAGCAATAACTCCTCATCAATGTACTGCAATAGACTCCTGTTGAGAGAAATGACATAAAAATTACCAAAAAATAGTTTCATCACTGAAATACTGAATTATCGTTGATTCCTCAAGTTGTTAGAAAAAATTTTAAACATTCAAAAAACAGTAAAACAAAACTAAACTAAATGATGCAAGCACTACAATAATTAACTTAAATTAATTTCAATGAATGAAATCTAAATTAAATAATAAAGAAAGATGTATACAGATGAAGCTAAATTGCCGTAGAGCATTAAATAATTATAAATAAAATAGCAAAAGCAACCGTGCCATATGCCTAATTCAACATTAAATTACTAATAACAGACTCGTGTGGTTCTTGTACTTTCGTCGTTAAGTCCGTCATTATTCCAATAGTTAAGTAGAAATCATTTTTTATAAAATAATCTTTTGCTGGTTTGCTTATGATTTTTTTTTTGCCGTAATCAGCTGTTCATTCATTTAATAAAGTAAATTACTCACTTTTCTGGGACGTCATCAAATGCTGTACCGATACCACAGTCAGGATGAACATCACAGTTATGAACAGTCTATAAGAATATAAAATCTTAAAAATTTACAAAAAATATATTTATTTTCAATAAATCATAAATTTTGAATATTTCAATTGTTGGATTTCTAAAAGGAATTAATATACCTTAACATTATTCATGATATCCATAATATCCCAAACAGCATTATCTTTATCAATTGGTAGTGAAGCAGCATCTCGTAGAAGTGTTCCACCGTCAAGATTAATTTGATCTAAACCATAACATATTATAAAATAAATAGATATCATATTTATTTGGAAAAAATAATAGTGATTTACCATCACTGTCTAATTGGAAAGTCGGACTCTTTGGTCTTGGTCTTGTTGTGTGTCTCGAAGCTATTCTTTGAGGTACATTTGGCACAGCTCCATCTTCGTCAGCCTCTAAGTCAGTAAACATGTGGCTTGGATTTGAAACTTTTTGTAATAATTCTAATGCCAGCCTTTTACTCATTTCTCCTTGGAAAAATGCATGCTACACAGCCAATAATAATAATATAATGACAAATTAACAACAATAAAGATTTCAATTATGCTATCTTAAACATCTATCCTTATCTTTTACTTATCATTGCACGAGAATAATACAATTACCTCTAATAATTTTTCTGCCGTAGGTCGTTTCTTAGGATTCTTTGTGAGTGCAACTTTAACAAAATTATGAAATGTAGGACTCCATTTGTCGCGATCTTTAAGTGTTGGAGGTTTAAATCCCGATTTGGACATAAGAAATAGTGCTCGCATAGGATGTAAATCAAACATTGGGGGTTGTAATTCGGCTAATTCTATCGCCGTAATACCACAGGCCCATATATCACATAACTGGTTATATCCACCTTTGCGTTCAACAGCTGCAACCTATTGAGTGAAAAATAGCATCAAGTACTTGAATGTCATAACTCGATTGAATGCATCAAAATTAACAATTTATTATTATAATACCTCTGGTGCCATCCAGTATGGTGTGCCAATGAAACTCTTTCGTTTATTAATAGTTGCGGTTATTTGTGCAGAAACACCAAAGTCAGCAAGTTTTACATCTCCAGCTTCAGTTAATAAAATATTAGCTCCTTTGATGTCTCTATGCATCTTTCCCATGCCATGAAGATAGGCCAGTCCAAGTAGAGTTTCTCGACACATAAAAGCTATTTGAATTTCAGTCAATGGACCCGTAACTAAAAGAATATTTAAATTAGGAAAAATTCATTTCATTAATAATTAATAATTATTGAATACTCACTATGATATATATCTTGTAAGGATCCTCCACCACAATATTCCATGCAAATCCACAGCTTATCACGTCTCAAATAACTGCCATAGTAAGCAATGATATTCGGATGTCGACAATCCTTCATCATCAAAATTTCCTGCTGAATCATCGCAAAATCATCGCCTAAAATGAAAATAAAATTTTATTAAGAATGTAAAATATTTATCAACCACTAATTTACTGTTATGAATTCATAAATCTAATAGCAGCTGACATATTACCTGGTTCTAATTTGATAACCTTTATGGCAGCAAGATCATTCATCGACAGTCTTTTAGCCTACACAATTAATGTCCATTATAGAAAAAATTGAATTAAAGTAAATTAAATATAATAATAAATACCTTATAAACATCTCCATAAGTTCCACTGCCAATTCTCTGAATGATTTCATATTCATCATGTGGATTTCTTCGACTTATGTCGCTGGAGATAACGTTTGCGTTCACCGCCATACCATATATCTCCACATTCGCGTAGCGTATCTAAATGAATAAATTATTTCGATAAATTATCACGCAATTATATTTACAAGATCACAACAACATAGACAATAAAATAGATTAATCCACAAAGTTCAATGAGCGGGATGTCACTTTAATCGAAACGTCGCTATGGTCGCCATTGTCCACAACAGCATGAACTGAGGCGCACATGGACCGCGCCGTTTGCAAAAATAACCAATCGTAAGCTTAAAATTAATCATGTGGTCACTTAAAAGCATCCAATCAAAACCAGTAGCTCACAATTCAAACTCACACAAATTGGCGCGATTTAAACATTAAAGGCATTGTCTAATTACTTTCTACTCATTTTTTATATTTTTCACCTGTGCGAGTGAATTGATAATTTTTATTGTACTTTCTACAATCATGAAGACTATGAACTGAATAATAACTCATTTATTTAAAGCATTTTAAGTGAATTAATTGAAATAAATGACATTTAATTCAATGTATTTTTACAAAAGTGAAAGATTTTGATTGTTTATCCATTGTTATAGAAAAATTACAGTTAAAAAAATATTTATTCATGATTATTTAATAGTAAAACAATTATTTAAGGAACAATAGTATTTGCCTTCCTAAAAGACAAACTTAATTAGCTGCACTCCACCCTATTCACTCTGTAACTAACTAATTGGCCTCAATTCCTGCAAAGTTTATAATGATATTTTTGGGAAGGAAAACTTATTTATTATTCAAGTGTAAAATGTAATCATGTATAACCTTATAAAATCGAATAAAAATATAATAATGACTTGCATGGTTATTAGAGTATGAGAGTAATGTAGGTAGAACAATGAAGCAAACATATAAGCTATTGAAGAAAAACATGTTAGATGATTTTCATTGTGACTGAAACGTCTAAGGCGTGGTTGAATACGTTCACACGTGTACCCACTCAACAAAATATAATACATGATGTATAAATGAATATATGGTCGAGTTTAGAATTATATTACCTTCCATATAATGATAACAGACTGGAATAATAAGGATAGCAGTAGAGGAGACAGGGTTGGATACGCACGCATGGCTTCGTACTCCGTTTGGGGTTCTGCGTCTTCCGCTTCAAACAGGACTGACCAGTCAGTTGTCAGAGCTTAGACAGATTACAATAGCATTCATCAATTCTTGGACATATTTTTCCATAAATTCCGCGAAAAATTGAGTTATCTAGTTCTATAGAAACAAATGGTTGATTTATCAAACGAAATGCGACGAACTGAAGTGACTTGAGTGTTGAAAAATACATTGGAATCTGTGTCAATGACTTACATTGAGTTACCTACTTATTGTCCTATGATTGTTTCCGTAATGTTTAAATAATACCAATCATGAGGACTATACTAATTGGATCAATTACCTTCTTAGGAATTTTAATGTTCAGTGATATATGCTGTGGTGAACAAAGGTTTTTAGATACTCCTCCTAGTTATCAAGAAGTTGCAACAGGTGATGATGTACGGTTAGCATGTAAAGTCCAAGACAAAAAAGGTCAATGTATTTGGCAGAAAGACCGTAAGCCCATTGGAATGTATCCTGATAAGTATGAGTGGGCTAATGGTCAAGGGAATGATAGGAATGATGCCGATTGTACCCTTCTTATCAGAAGAGCATCTTTGGATTTTGATGATGGTATTTGGGAATGCCAGGTAACACCTGGGGATTTTACTAGACAGGATGCTCTTACTTCATTACCTTCTCGACTTCTTGTTAAAGGTGCTTTTATCTGTATAATTAAACAATTTTTCGTCTTACATAAAATGATCAAGTTACTAGAAATTGCATATTTTAGATTTCGAAATGAATTTCATTTCACTGCGTAACCAAATAAGTATACATGTTAATTTCAAGAGAAATTACTAGAAAATTCAGAGAATAATATTTTAGTTCAAGTTTGTTGGTAGTAAATAAGATTATATTGGTTGGAATAAATTTTAGTTTCTGATTATTAGAGTGGAAAAATAAAAGATTTCGGATTAGTGAATAATTCTAATCGATTTTTAATTAATTTTTATTTGTAATTTTGCTAGTAAAACCAAGAAAACCTCGTTTGGAATACGGTGGAGCAATTTTGACAGGGGCTCTGACGTTAAGAGAAGGTCAAGAGGTCACCATTTCCTGCGTTTCTCGATATGGAAATCCTCCAGCACTTATTAAATGGTAAATCCAACTTTACATTAATTAATTTTATCAAAATAAATATCTATCTTCATTCAAATCTAGAACAATGATATATCAAATTATTTAAAAAAAAAAATTTACAATTATCATCATTTTTTATCACAGTCATTCATAGGCATGAAAAAAAATTCTAAAAAAGCGTGTTTAACATGAGTTTTAAATAATATCATATGACAAGTGTAATAAACTGTTATACCAAGATGTAAATCAAGAGTGCGTAACGTTGTCCTCGGAGCTTTTATTCATACTCAGTAGAAAGGGTTGTCTAAAAGGATCGTCTTTTCCGTTTTACGGTCTGATGAAACTAGCCGCTCCTTATCCAACTCAGTGATATAAAATATGTATATCGTAAACTTATGTGTATGTATGTATGTTCGTATAGGTTTATTGGAGGCGACGAGGTCGAACCACTCAGAGAACAAACCAATGCCACTGAGGTTGATAGTCCCAAGACCTGGGCAGCTCATAGTCTTTTAAGAGTCCGAGGAGATAGAGAAAATCATGGTTTACCGATAAGATGTCTCAGTTTACATCCTTCAAGCCCTTTACCTGCTATTGCTGAATGTCGTCTTGATATTCATTGTAATAAATAAATTTATTTACACTTTGAATAAAATTGAATACTATTTAGAAGGTTTTTATTATAAATTAATGTTATTTAGATTCACCAGAGGTTCGTATAGAAACCAGCCCTCGAGTTCTAACATCAGCACTAGAAGATTCTAGTAGCTTCTTAAGTCTAAAATGTCTAGCTGATGCTAATCCACCAGCAAACATACGATGGTACAAAGATTCAGTGGCTTTAGAAAGGTATAATTCAATGGATTCATTGAGTCAAAACTTCACTCACAGAAATGGAACATTAAGTGGTTCAGAAATACGATTTGAACCTGTGAAGCAGCAAGATGCAGGTCTTTATTCATGCAAGGGAATTAATGTTATAGGAGAAAGTATTCCAGCTAACTACCGATTGGATGTTCAATGTAATTAGACTTTTAATTAATTTATAAACGTATTTAGACAATAATCTAATCAAATTTTAACATGTTTAATAGTTGGCCCACGACTGAAATCTACAAGTAAAATCAATGAAACAGCAGGAGAGTTTGAATCAATTGCTCTATTAGCAGCAGATGTGGATCCTTTTGAATGTAATGAATTTGAGGCTAATCCTCCAGCACGATATCGATGGATTCACATCAGAGGTGGTGTATCACATCCAGTTGAAAATTTTATTGGCGAAGAAACAGGATCAAGGAAGCTTAAATTAAAAAATGTTGCTTGGGCTGATGAAGGAGAGTATCGTTGTGTAGCTTACAACGTCATTAATGGTGTACGGAGAGAGATAACATCTGATTCAAAGTATATTCTACATATTTCTGGACCTCCAGAAATTCAGACCAAGCCAGTTGATGGTGAAGATGACAAGAACTTTGGAGAATCTGTAGGATGGGTAGGGGAACCTGTTCATATGCTAAGATCAAGATTTTGTTCAAGACCTCCACCAAAGTTAGTTGCTTGGCAATGGGGAAGTTCTCACATTCGTGCAGGTTAATATTACTTTCAATTAAAACAATAATTTACCTATTAGAAATGATTCTTAATTATTTTTCATATTTGTAGGTGAAAGTATTGAACCAAAATATGATGCTTTACCTTTGGAGCCAATAACAGAGAATAATGAGCGAACAAATTGCTACTGGGCAAAATTAGAAATTCGTAATTTACAAAAAGAAGACTCTAGAATATACAGTTTATTAATTGAAAGTGAAAAAGGTCGTGATTCGACAAATTTAAAATTAATTGTAAGAGATCCAATGGAGATAAAAATAATCGCAATAGCTGGAAGTATTGGAATATTTTTATTTTTGGTAGTAATTGGATTGGCTTCATACTCACTTTTCAAAGCACGTCATCGTCGGTACAGAAAAAAATGTGGAGAAGAAGAGGAAGATGGAAGTATTGCAGCAGATGCATTTTATTCCACTACCACTACAACGAATCGCCAAAAAACTACACCAACTAGTAAAATTTATGTAAGAAAAACTCCTCAAGAAGGAGGCCTCGCAGTTATGTATGATTATAATCAAATTGTTAAAAATTCTGGAACATTAAGTCCTGAAGCATTAAAAGTTAGAAGGGCTCCAGCTGTTCTTCAACCTCCTACAATTGTATAACAAACCAGTTAAAAATTAATTTTTATATTTATTTCGATATTTTACACCAATTAGTAACGACATAATACTCCCAGTTGTCGCTCGTACGTATTATGAATTATTTATTTGTTAAATAATTTAAATATATATTTCCTCTATATTTTGTAGTCATTTGTGATTGTTTAATCGCTTAAGAGTAGAGTATGATTGAAATATCTTATAATAGGCCGAATAATATCTTATTGTCTTAATATCATGAATCAAATATCACTTGTTCATCATTATTTGATAAGTATTTAATTATTAGTTGGCAGCATCACATGCATCAATCCAGTCATTATATACATCTAATGGATCAGATAAAACGTTCACTGTAGTTTGATACTCTTCTGAACAAATACGACAGCTGATTTTAGCTGTTTTCCTTACTTTCTCCCTAAAAATAATTATTGTTAATTAATGTAATATTAATAATTTATAATAAATTGTTTTTAAATTTAAAACAAAGGTCTTTTTTAATTTTTGATATGAAAAAAATTATTTAAAATAAAAATCGAACATTTAACTAACATTTTGACTTCACAAGATTTTTCATGATTGCAAAATGGACATGTAAATTGTGTTTCAAGTGGTTCTATTGCTTTTCGTTTAACTGGTGCTTGTCTTTTACTCTTTTTGCGACCCATCTTCTTTTAATCTGCAAAAATAACATTTTCATATCACATTCAATTCAAGAATAAATATTTACTATACTTTGATATGTGTTGTATACAAAGTAGTGTTTCAAAACATTGTTGACAAAAGGTTGTTCAATGACAATAGATATGTAAAAAAATCTGTAAATTATATTGAGAAACAATACTTACTCTAAATAAATATCAGTAAATATCAATAATAGTCCTATGTCAATATTTTTACACAAATAAACAAAAAAAAACCATGTATTTATCGATATTTTAACAGTTTATCAAGCACTATACTTTAATGGCTGCCACCGCAAACAATATGGCTATGAATGAAAGATGCCGACGTTGTACAGTCACAACCGGGCCCCACATTCTTTTACCCACAACTTTGGTAAGGTGGGAAATTTAATCTACTTCCTATATTGTATTATTGAACAATTTTTAACTATTTGTTTCTTTACCCATCAACTACTTACGTGTCTTTTCTAGGAACAAAATTATTATATATAAAAAATATATACATAAATTTCAATTTTTATAATTTATATAATTCTTTTACAAAATTATGATAAAATTTTTAACTTACAATTAATTTTTATTTTGGAGTTATATCATAGAAAAAAATTATATCTTAACGGACAAAGTAACCAAAAATGTTGCTTAATTTATTGATACAAATAATATTACTTTCATAAGTGCATTTGAACTCAACTTAAATATTTATAACACGCGACAGCTTTTGGACCCTGTTGAGAAGAAGGTCTCCTTGCTTAACCATTGCTTGGTATTGCCAATTCTTACTGTCTGGTCTGTTTGTTTCAACGACTCCACCAACACGATCTACTTTACAATGTAATCGTCCAGCTGCAATATAACGTGATAATTCCCTGGAAATAAAAATATTTCGAATATTTTTTTTATCCACGTAATCTAAATCTATAAATTTCATTCATTTAAAATAACATACTGATCAACATAATCCACAGTAACACCAAAAGCTTCAGCCATGTATTGTAAGGTAAGAGATCGGTAAGACTCCAATAGTTGAGTATAAGCTGAAATACGCATCTCCCTGACATAATAACGATAATGTGGATTAATTAAGTAATCACTTTTCAATAAACCTTCGACATGAGCTGAAAATTAAATATTTTCAAACTTAGATTTAATCTCTTTAGACATTGCTACTAAATTTTCCTGAAATAGAAATTACCAAGATTTTTGAAGAAATCAGCGTAATGACAATTGTATAAGGAGAACAAGTATTCTTTACAGTCAGGATTATTGTGCAAAACTTCTAAAATTTCAGAACCTTTTATGATCTTGTCTCGTAATTCATTCCTTGGTAAACTGATCATGCTTAAATATACAGTATATCTAACAAAAGTATTGTAATCCATCAGCTCATAGCTCGTAAACGTGCTTATGGTATCAAGGAAAAAATTGGCAGCTTCTTTAAAATCTCGAACTGCTATACAATAAGTTCCTTGATAAACTTTTAGACGGTTTCTTCTATCCCAATCACCTCCTTCTTCAATTAAACTGTAAACATTATCGAACAGAATAACAGTAATATTATAAAATACCTTATTACTGATTAACGATAAGCATCTGAATTTATGTTTTACCTTTTTGCTTTATCAATATTTCTGGTAATGTGATCATGGTCTAAATAAAATAAACCAATTCTAATGTTATGGAAAACAATGTCTAGTCTATGACCTAATGAGACAGTTTTTTCATAAGTCTTTCTGAATGCTGAGATGGCTCCGTCTTTGTCTCCAATACGACATAAATGCTCTGATTTTTTAAGATTTGCTTCTCTAACTTCCATTTCACCTAGATTTTTTTCAGCATCTTCAATCGCATCATCTAATGCCTTTAATTGTTCACGATTACACGTCTTCATTTTTTCTAAAAGAGCTTCATCTACTGGCCAATCAAGATCACGACAAACTTCTTCGTAAAACGGAGCCATATCTACAAAAATAATTAATAGAATAAATAGTTGAACAATATGAGATTATTGAAAAATCTTGATAGTTGAAAATTAAAAAATGTTTGTTATCAAGACTTTAAAGAATCATATTAAGAGATATTTTTTAGACCAAATTAAATTTGTCATTATAAAATAAAATAATAGAATCAAAAGATTAATTTATTATAATTAATATATTTAGTAGATTATTTATTTATAAAAGTGCAATCTCACTGTCGGCTTTTATGGCATCCATCAACTTAGCCTTTAAAGTTTCATCATTCTTGTGTTCAGGTAAACTTAACAGAAATTTTGTCTGGGCCAACTCCAAATTTGGATTTTTTTCCAAACCATCATCTTCAAAATTTTCTAATGGCATTGTGAATAGTTTATAAAAATTTTATTAACACTCAGAAAGACGAACAAACACTTTCCGACCGAGTAAAAGAAGAGAAATATGTGACATAGAAGCTCAATCTCAAAATTTTATCATACAAAAGTGTTTAGTACGCAAGCTAACTGAGTGTGGCGCTATGGTCAACTTCATTTGCGAGTTTTGAATTGTTCTCATGTTATAAAATATTATTTCATTTATTGTTGAATGATAATTGTTCTTTTTATTATGAATTTAAGAATTCGCGTTTTATTGAATTATATAATGTTGTTTAGTTAGAAAATGAACAACTGATGTCTATTTTTAGAAGAAAAACTCTTTCGAAACTATTTTCGTCCATGCTTGTAGTATTCTTGCTGCAGGTGTCGCTCAGTGTTGAAGTCCAAATTGAATTTGAATTTAAAAATCGAATGAAGGAGAGAAATACAGCTAAACTTACATACAAATAATACAAAAAAAACACAAAATTAATTTTAAGAATAACATTTTAGTTTAATGAATTGTACTTAAAAATATAAAGTAGCATATTGAAATAAAAGGTGAGAGTAACAGGTCTGAATAAAAGAAGTTTCAATCTTTTTTTTTTTTAATGGACAGCCTGCATTTATAGTGACTGAAGAATCAAAAGGGAAATAGTCGCGCATAATTAATTAATAATTATTTTGGCGTAACTTAAGATCGACTATTACCTTTGTACCAAGTAAACATACACACTTGTATGTTCAGCATAAAAATCTTTACTACTTAATGTTCATTGATCGTTAAACAGACAATAACTCCATTCCATTTTTTCTTGCACACTCTTGCATACTTTTTTTTTTTATCATAAATTGTTCACTACCAAAAATTACTTATACAAGTTAAAAATTCAATGTTTTACATACCAATTAATGTAGCATAATTCATTTACTACGATTTTATAAAAAAAAATTATAACAATAATTGGACAGATTGATGGATGAATTCAAACTATGTATAGATAATCAATCATATTAATTTGATTTAATCAAGTGAAATAATTATTTGTAAGTAAACAATCTATGGAAAATATTAAAATTTATTTCAATGATAAATTTATTCATTTATTAATGACGAATTTCTTATAAATGATAATGAAGACAGCATGAAAGTTGATGTATACCCTGAAATTTAGAGTCGATAGCAGACACTGAAGCTGCGATCGACAATTAATGAAAGTGGTTGATTAAATCGAATAGTTATAAAGATATTCAGATCATTCGAACGGCCGTTGAACAGTCTACAGATGAGTAAAATATACGACTAATTGTAAATTGTAAAGTACAGTATTCATTAGGTAAAGGAAATAGAATAGTAGCATTCAAGATATTTTTGAACATTAAAATGAGAGAATTTGAAAAAGTGATTAAAAAATATGTTGTTGGCCGAAAACATGGCCCAAACTCTCTGATTCACTTATTCTCACGATAAAACTCGATGCGCAACAGCGATTCATTGATCTGTCTGTATAATATAATAATAATATAATTACTGTATTCTTAATAACTAATTTTTGTATTTATTATATATTAATTTACAATGATTTAGTTGTCGCTGATTAAATCATTCTCTTTATTCAGCCGATTAATTGATCAATCAATGAGTTTATTGATAAAATAACTGGGCGATAGTTCGCATTATTTATTCAATAAGTAATGGTAATTTCCATTATGTTGAATAATTAACATTTAATGACACTCACATAATTCTGTAGAGATCGTAAATGGACACGATCTTTATCAAAACATCAAATAGTTAATAGATGTCGATTGATTTTCAATCATTGAGGCCGATAGAATGAAAGAAACATCTATATACTTATATATAATATAGACAGCAGTTATATAGCATCAACGACTTCAATCTATACCCTGTGCAACGCCTCCTTCATCTGTCGACACATTCTATGATGATTATTTGACAATTGTTAATTTGTTTTCATATTGGCTAGTTATTCTGTAATATGTATATATTTATATATATTTTTTTGTTTTTTTTATTTCATTACACAATATCTATTTATATTTTTTTTTATATTTATATATTATATGTATAGTAAAACTGATGCATCATTTTACAGCAGCATATTAGCGTCAAAGGTGTATCGGTGTGTCAACGTAATCTAGATTTATCTGCGATTTATCTCATCTGCTCTTATTATTCTTCATTGCCCTATTGTTTTATCTACTAATTAATATATGCCATGCATCAGTCATTTAATCACCATTACATACTCAACTGTGAAAACATAATAGAATATTAATTATGGCATAAACGTAACATAACGCAACTCTATTACATCGTTTCAATGCATCATCTTCATCATCGTCATCATCATTCTCACTACTTTTCCACTATTTCTCTATTATCTAAGAAAAATTAAATACAAAAAAAATCTATATTTAATCTCGCTTGTTTTCTTTTTTTTCTTATGATTATTATTATTATTATTCTTTCGTGACTTTTCGCCTATTGTAAAATAGAAAAATTAAAAAAAAATATATGTACAAATATATTTGTCTGTATTTAAAATATAAGTAAAATTTAGAATAAACCAGTATGATAACAATAATGAAGATGGCAATTAGCAATGGCAAATTTATTTTAATTATTTTTTTTGTATTTTTCATAATTATAAATTGTCAATGACAATGATAACAACACCGATGAAAATTCGTTTTGTTTTTTTTTCATTAATATAATTGTATGTACAACGACCGCCAGTGATTAACGGAGATCGGCGAAATAATAACAACACTGAAACAAGGTTCATTCGATATCATTTCATTTCTATGTTTAATTTTTACTATTATATTTTCATACTCAACGTATTATTCGTATTTTTGAGATTATGTTTATTTTTTTTTTTAACTTTTTTTCTGTTACTGGATTCCTGACTTGTAGAATAACTTATTGATTAATAGAAAAAAAAAATAAAACACAAAAAACCACGTATCACGTAGCCTCAACGAACTCATAACGTATTCTACGATGATCTTTGTATGTACATAATAATATCATATAATACTCCACATTTTTATTTTCACCGGCAAAATATTCGGAATGCACAAATCACATTCACAGTTTGTAAATATAATAATTAATGACAATGAAGTTAATCTAAGGCAACAATAACAACAACAACAACATCAACAACAACTAAGTCAGGATACGTACGGTACAAATTGCACGTTTATTATAGCACCTTACTGGCCATTATCATTTATAACAATTTTAAGTTAAAGTATTCTCATTTATTAATTGTGTCTATTATAGGATTAGATTTTAATCAAAGTCTCCACAATATTTATAGTTCATTTAAACGTATTTATTTGATTGAATAAGCATATTCATCTTCATAATTTATTGAATATTTATGCAATAAAATAAATGGAATTTTCCAAATGATTAAATACAAGCTAAAATATGAATTGTGAAAAACTTTTATTAAAATCTAATAAATACGAATAGGCCATACGATGAGTATTGATTGATAAACTTGAATTTGAGCATAATGATAAGTCGAATAGTTACCCGAATCATTTTATTCGCCGATCTCCGAGTGCCGAGTCGTGAATCAACGAGATATAACCCGGCATGATTGATTCAACTGAAAGCACTATTCGTTGCGGGTGGACTAGATTAATTCTAATCGCGTCGCCGTAATTACAGACTGTTATTATTCATTTACTCTTAATTAATCATTAGTAATTCATATTTATTTATTTATCATTATCATCACCATCATCATCGTCATCATTATCATTACTATTATTATTATTATTATTTATTTATTATTATTATTATTATAATTAATATGACATTTTTTTCAACTATCATTTAAAACAATTTCATTATACAGTTGATAAAAATTTTATTGTCTAGCAAAAACGGCGACGCGCTTGTAAAAATTTGCCGTAATGCCAAGTTTTTTTGGGTGCATCAGGCATGCCAAGAAAACTCTAGAGTGTAAAAATACGTAAAAAAAAGGTAGTAATTCAGCGTAAATTTTATGTGTCACGCTTACATTGATTATCATACGCCATCATATGCGAGGTCAACGGGTGGCCTGTGATGAGATTGAAGGTAGGGAGGTGATGCAGAATTTCCAGGACTTCCAGTAGAACCGGTCACGCCATAGCCACCAGGATAATTAGGACTAGGTGCGTGGATACCAGCTGGAGGTGTTGGGTATGATTCGAAGGAACTTGAATAGGATGTATTATAAGGATAAGGATTAGCCATGTGACCTAAAGATGGATGCATTCCACTCATTCCGCTCATTCCACCCATTCCATAAGTACGTTGCATAAGGCTAGACTCTAGACCTCCAAATAGATAACCATTAGTGGGTCCCATTGGCGGTACGGGGTAATGAGGGCCAGGGATAATATTTGAGTAAGAATTCCCAGATTGGCTCATGCTCGGTGTGTAATTACTGGACGCTAGATTTTCTACAGTGTAGGATTTGCTGTGTTGTTGTTGCTGCTGCTGCTGTTGTTGTTGTTGTTGCTGCTGCTGTGAATGTTGCTGTTGCTGTTGACCATCACGGCTATTCATGCCGTAAACTGAACCATAATTGTCTCCTAAAGAGTACAAATGTGATCCGGGATAGTTTCCTCCTCCACTTAAAGGGGGACTGTAGTTAGCATTCATTCCAGGACCAGAGAAACCCGACAAGTACGACTGGTGATGTGATTCAAGTTTGTCACCCATTCCATCATCAGAAATTCCAGAATGTAAGCGTTGATTACCCCCATCAGCTATGCTTGGAATTTGATCAACAAGAGACTCAAGGTCGCTTAAGCTCTTTGATGCAACATCTTGTCCAGAATTCGTCTTCATACCGTATTGTTCATGTGGATGAGGTGACATTGACGCATGCGTAGGTGTATGAGGATGACTTAACGGAGGTGTTTGGTGAGATTGATGAGAGTGTCCATCATCAGCACCTTGGCTCATTCCCGTTGGCGTTGTCTGATGTGGATGCCCGCTATGAGGCTCAGGAGTTTGTTGATCATGGAAACCCATATAACTTGTGTAATTTGAGTGTGATGGTGTACCTGGATTACTACCATGTGGGACTGAGCCATCTGTCGTACCCGCTGGATTGTACGCGCGGTGATCGCTATTAAGATTTTGAGCCATGCTGGTTGGTGGTTCAAAATCCGGGTGTTCGACACTTGGAGAAGTTAATGGCGATGGCTCGAGATTGTTTTCCGAAGACATGGCAGTATTGATCTCTGATGATAGATCGGAATGAGTGAACGACAGAGACATTGATTTTGGGCTTTGGCTGTAATGCTGTTGAAGATGAATAGGACTTTGCTTTGCACTCATGTATGGGCCACCGTCGTTCATACCCTGAGAGAAAAAATTCGATTCTTGTTGCGAATACGGTGCCATATGAGCAAAAGGCTTTGGAGGTGTCATTAACGAAGGTGAAAAACAATTAGAGACATTTCCATATCCATCACTAAGATGTACCATTCCTTGATGGTGTTGTTGTTGATGATGATGATGATGATGATGATGGTGATGAAGATGTTGTTGCTGCTGTTGCTGTTGTTGATGTATTAATTGTTCACGTTCTCTCACCTCTCTCTCCTGTTGTTTCTGCTGTTGATGAATTTTTTTAGGTCGTCCACGACGTTTCTTAATGACTTCTCCATTGGCGTCTAATTTATCAGAGTCTGGTAACGGCTGTTCATCGGGATTCTTGATCTTTTTCGGTCTTCCTCTTTTTTTCTTTCCAGGAATTAATCCTTGATCTTGTTTAGAATCACTTAAATCAGAATTTCTGTTTTCGCCGTCCATATCATCACCATATGTAGATTTTTTATCCTCTAATGCTTCAAGTTCTTTCTTTTTATGAATTTTCGGATCTGCAAATACGATATCTGATTCGTCTAAATGTGAAATTGTGCCATTTAAATAGTCTCGGAATTTTTTCAAAGCTGCGTAATATGGCACCTTATCTGCTGCGCGGGGTAATTGTGCACATCTGGCGCTGCTTGATGGCATCACCCACATGTACTGTGAATTAAATTAGCAAAATTTAGACAATGTGTACTGATAATAATAAATATACAAAAGTATGTACGACAATAGAATTTATTTATATTAAAAAGTTTCATTTTAAATATTTTGAATAAACGTTTTTATTTATCAAATTAACTCTATTGCATGTAATTATAATTAATATTCATCTTACCGTATTTGTTCCCTCAACTAAGCTCGGTTGTCTACCAAATCCAAACTCTTTTTTCCCCGAGAACACTTCATAGATAAGTTTCCCGTTAAATACTGCTATTTTTGGCTTGTACTTTTTTAACTTTTCCAGCAATAAATGACTACCTGAAATTGAAAGTAAAATTAAATTACATTTTCTTTTCAACTCAAAACTTTTAGACTTAACAACACGTGTCATGTAACAATAAAACTTTTCAGATCTGTCAATCTTAAGGCAAAAGTTTGAAGATCAAGTTTACTCTTGTTTAAACTACCAGTTGGATAGTTGACTCTCGAAATACTATCTATTGCACGATTAATCTATGATAAGCGGTGTCCAATAGTTTCGAGGCCAACTTTACTCCACTTTCATGAGTGAAAATTTAACAGTTTACTTCCTCATTCAAACTAAACTAGTTACTCGTAAGTGTAATAATGAAAAGATTATGGATTCAAAGTTTATTTTGTCAATGCTACTTATGTATTCTCTCCAACAACTTGATCTTGAACTTGATTACTTATTTATATCAATATGGAACTATTTTATAAGAAAAATTTTCTTCTTGAATAACTTCCGTGATATTCGTTTTTTATACACTATTTTTTCTCAACTTCGGATATCTTTTCTTAGAATATCAAGTAAAAGGAACATCTTTAAAGGGTTTACGAACCTTCTTTTATCTCTTTTCTCGTTAAATCGGCACTTCCTTTGGTCGCACGTGCAACCATATTAGTGAAACCAATTCCAAGGCGTAGGAGTTTGTAGTCGTCATCTGCAGTAAGTGGTTCTGGCGTCAAACCACTTAAATGTAAACATTTCCCTGAAATATAAAAAAATATGATAATCTTTGATTACTGTTTTATTTAAATTAATTAGTTTGATTTAATTATAAAATGATAATTTATTTAATAAATTAAATGATCAATTACCTAATTTATTGTTAAATTTTATTTCTCATGAATCACCAGAAAAGATTTGCCTTGTTAATGAATATTTCAATAACAAAGTTAATTGAAGAAAAAGAGATAAGTTTACTTTTGAATAATAGATTTGAATGAAAGTATAGAGAGAAGTATATGTGTTAAAGATGTCAAAATTTGATGAATTGCATGGCAAAAGAGCATAAACGAAAGTTTAAGGGAAGGTAGAACGAGAAGTTGTTGGAAGTTTTGGAATACAGGAATTTATGACTTTGCGGAAACTCATTGGTGCGCGTGAACTACCCACACAGCGAATGGCCTTGCGACCTTGGCTGAACTTTGGAAACAAAGTTAAGAGGTCGAAAGGAGAACGCTCGCTGCGTGCCCCAACATTTTCCATTTACTATCCGTGGAAAAGGGAAAAACAGATAAAAACAGCTAACAGTTACGATCAGAATAAACTTTAACGGAAGCTACAACAGTTTCTAGACAAGTTTTTTTTTCCCTTTTTTCACTTGTACTTTTACTCTACATTACTTTTATTAAATCTAACAACCACCTAAATCACTATATGATAAGATACCACTGATTCATAATACAATTGATTATAGAAGCTTCAAAACTTAATAGCAGGAATTCATGAACTTCTGATTGAAATTTCTCTTCAGCAGTATATTATATTAAACATGATTTAACATCATTAAATAAATAAATGAAATATAAAGCAAGTCTTTTTCCAGTATCTAGTAATGCGCCGGTCAGGTTTGAATCCAGGACACAGGTCGATGGTAACCTGTGTGACTGCGCTCCGGGATTCGTGTGTTGGGCGCGCCTGGAAAATCAATTTTCACAGGAACTTTCTCAGCATCATGAGCATACTCATCTCAAATTGCCTCTAAAAGAATAATTTACTGCGAATGAATTTTTTTCAATGCTTAATATACATATCCAGTTCACCAAGCTATATTTATTTACTTCCTGTATGTACTATTTCTCAACTGCTCTTTATATCGATTAAGTGAGTCCATATCGACGTAATTTGGTAGTTAATGACTATGCAGTAGAGCATAATAAGTGTATCTTGAGTGCAAGGAGCATTAGGTTCCTTGACAAATACCCAAGGGGAAAGCACGAAGGAAGAAAAAGCAAATACCCGAGTTTGGTTGATTTGCAGCACAGGGTACGCAAGGGTAGTGAACGTGGACAGAGTATGTAAGCTGCTATCGAGCGAGTACGCGGGGTTTACCCTCCCTTTTCCTCTAGTACTCCGCCCTCGCCCTGTTCCCTTTTACCCCTCTTTCACCTTCCCCTTCAGTAAATCGAGGGTGGATCGTGACGGCTGGGACGGGCGGTCCCGGGGGTGGCAGCACCACCAACGAACCTGGAGATCCCAGAGAGGGTATGCGGAGGGAGATAAAGCACTCGGGTACACGTTTTCCCACACTTTACTTCTCTTTCCTCTCTTCTACTTTTCTATCTCCCCACAACCACCACTCATTACACTTACCACCGCCATTGCGGCTACGACAAACTCTCTTTCTCTCTCTATTTTTTACGTAAAATCCTTTTTTCCTTCTCTTTATTCTCTTTTTTTCTCTCCTTTATTTATTCTTCGTCTCTTCTTATCTTCCTTCTTGTCGAGTACTTATTCGATGCATCACATCTATATATGTATACAATTGAATTTCTGTTCTCTGACACTCTTATTCGTGCTGTGATATCAAATTCATCACCATCATAATAAAGCAAAAGATGAGGAAGTAGAAAAAAAAATTTTACCTACTAAAGTTTTGGCAGAATATTTTTGTGTCAAGTAACTTTTACTTTTTTTCAACATTCTTGGCCACTGATAATTCTACAAGCTTTAAGACTTGGCATCTACAACCACAAACTTTCTCACACTTTCCTATACAATATAACACTTGTCGTAGAGTAAAACTTTTCCCGGATCTGCTAAAACCCAAAATTAGGTCAAGCTGCATAAATTGAGTCATCCGCATATATTTACAATTAAACTACAAGTCATTAAGGGCTCAATTATATCAGCTTTAAGTCATCATCAACTATCATAAATAATTCAAGTAATTACACGAGCCTATTATGAATTTATCATGATTATTATCACTTTATCAAATACAGTGGATTTTTTCTTTCAATTAAATTTTTCTGTAAACAACCCATAAAATCATGTAAAATGTAACTCTAAACATTGAATGTTGATAATCATACCAGAAACATGATTAAAACTTTACTTCATTGAATTTTTATACTGCCATTCAACAATCATATGAATCTATAGAACAATTTAAATAAAAAATAGTTTTATAAAAGTAAATGGTATTATTTAAATTCATTAAATAGAAAAAAAAAGACTCATACCAATTTAAATAATTGTAGGCCTGTATCACAAAGTAAATTTGAAGTTCATTTCACCATTATTTCCCTTTTGCAAGTTTTCCATACACACTTTATAAGCTTCAAACATTTTTTTAAGCATCACACCGCCAATATCTCATTACAGCTTTTTTACACGAGTTTTCTAGCATTTTCCCCTTCACATAGACTTCTCTACTCTTTTGATCTGTTCTTGCTATATGTAGGTCTCATTATAAATTTCTTGTCCTATGTTCTACCCTTGATGATGGTTGTTGGACTGTACTTTACCCTTTACCACCTACTCTACCGATACTTGCTTACTTGGATTCTCTTCTAGGTACCATCCCCTCGTTACTAACACTACGAAACCAACGCCCCTCCCGGGGAAACCCTGAAAAATCGAACGCAGCATTTCCCTGACCCTATACACTCCAGAAGGATAGTGGAAAACTCATGCATCCGTGTATGCGTGGATAATAGGTGCGAAGCATAAATCGTTTGGCTTGCTGAACCGCAAAATTGTTTTAGCCAACATAAAATCAAAGTTTCCATGATACTGTTACATGGATTAAATAGATGATACTTTTTTCTGGTGTCATTGACATTTTTAATGTATTGATCGACTCACAAAAGTGGTTTCCTGGTCCGGCGTAGTGGTGGCCCTTGTACGCAGCAAAAAGCCCAGGATTTATACCAATCTGAAAGCAGCATTCAGTATTTTCATTACTATTTATCAAAACAACAAGTATCACTACTACTAAATTATCATAATATCATCTGGTTCATCATCAACAAATCATAAATTTTATTAGGCCATCAGTGGAAATTAATGCTGGCCATTTTAATAAGTACCACCTGAATGTTGGTGTTAATGGATAAGTTTTACATAAAATAGTTCACATAACATTGATAGAAATTCATGAATTCGATAGTTAAATGTAAAAATTAAAGGCAAAAAAAAGATAAAAAAGATGAAAAGATTATGTGAAGCTTATGTAAATTTTTTATTGACGCTGATCGTCACACATTAAAAATGATACCATGAAGCACACAAGGATCTTACGCAAGCGCGGGAACTCGCACGATTAACGACGCCCTCGAGTACTCTGGTCTTATCCTTGGACTCTGCTGTTATTAGTTACCTAATCTCAAAAGTAAAGAGCGAATATAACATCTCCGTTGCGCAACAGGTAACCGGCGTGTTCGTCCGACCGTTGCATAATCATCACCGTTACCGAATTCAGATGAACCACCACGCGACATACTACAATTGTACTATTGGAATTTGCTCCCTCTCAATACTATCCAATATTCCTGTCTATCTATACCTATTACCCTTTGAAAAGTTTCAAGAACGCCAGTAAAATAAAAACGACAAGAAATTTCTTCTACTTTCAGGAATACACGACCCAATTGTTGCATTCTCTCATTTTTCCTTTCAATTTTTTTCACTTTCAACTTCGATCGAACGTTCATTGAGTGAATGAAAACATTACTTCTCTTTCTTTTGCTTTGCCTTTTTATTTCATTTTTCGTGTATCTCGAGTACTATCTACGAATTTTATAAATATTTTAATATTTACCAGTTCAGTATTCTTCAAACTTTTACACACAATATTTTTGTAACTTATTTTGGTTAGATAATAAATAAATATTTTTATTCAACTGTAAATGGAAATATCCTGTTTACGTGTCTATTATTATACTTAAATTTATCATTAAACTTTTGTTTGTAAATAAATATATTAGTCTAACTTTTGAATTTTGTATTGCACATTTTACGGTAAAACTTTCTGTTCTTGTATTCTAGTTCCTAGTTCATTATTCTAACATGTTGACTTAAATGCTAATTGTCTTTGCTAAACTTGATGTTTTATTTATAAAATTATTCTCACCTATTGGTCGATGATTCAGATTGAAAAGTGAAATTTGTATTTCAGCTTTAAATGTTTTCATAAAATAATTGAAACACTTCACCAAATTAGAATGAATAAAAAATTAAATTTACTGATAATCAATAGAAATTGAAACGATAAAAAATTTGAGTTTTTAGTCAAGTTATAATATAACATGAAAATCTAGTCGATTTATCCATTTGTATTTTTTGAATTTTTATTCAGTCCAATTGTTTGAATCAAAAGCTTAACATGTTACAGAGCGATATAAAAAAAAAGACAAAAAACTTTAGAGCAATTTTTTCGATGTATTTGCGTGGGATTTAGTAGAATATGCCATGCGGCAGAGCAATAACCGAATTTCCGCGGATCGACACGTCCCACAGTCGAATGACGAATGAACCATGAGGATGAGGGCGCGTGAGCAATTATCGGCGTCGTGCTCCATCATACAGTACGTTATCGTATTAAGCGAGTTTTCACCCGCAACACATTCAATGGAAAGTCGTCACAACAAGAGCTTCTCTTTAAGTATTTCTAAATTAAACCAATAATAATATTAAATCTATCTTCAATTTTATGAACTTTCTATCAATAAATTTTTTAAATTAATTAGTAGATGAATATTTGATAAACCAAATTTGATTTTATTCAAAGAATAATCAATCTGTCAATAAGTATACACTTGTAAATTGATAGATTGATGATACTATTACTTACAATTATTATGTCAAGATTATTGGTGAGATGATCAGGTAATACCCTCTTACTAACTTCTTCTTCAGGCATACCATCAAACCTATCATGCTTTTTTCTTTCCTTGTAGGTTTTAGCTTTTTTCTTCGCTTCAGCCAACTCCGCCCTATATGAACGTAAAAACCACACATCAGACATGTCGTTAGTATGTTGAACTTTTCATTTTCACAACTTAGTCAAACATTCAGTTTTTCCCTCACGATTTACTTAACAAATGACGTGACTCGTTATGCATACTTGATAACTACAGGAGACACTACTGATGCTGAGTTAAATAAATATTTCATTTTTAATACTTTAAATTAAACTATACAAATAATTTAACATGAAGAAAAGATTTGAATTTTTAACCAAGTTATTTATAAATTATTATTATTATTTCCATTATTTTATTCTATTCAAGTTGAACTTCTTTTTATTGATCGTCTAATTAAGATACTCACTCTTCAGGTGTGAGGATCATTTCAGACTTCTTCTTACGGCCTCGTTTTTTAGGTTGGTGTTGCATCTGATGTGGATTAAGAGATCCATTCATCATCATTCCCATTGGATGATGCTGAGAATGTTGTGGTTGTTGTTGATGTTGATGAGCTTGAGGATGAGGATGTTGTAGAGGTGGTAGAGGAGGTGGTGGTTGCTGTTGATTGGGCATCGGACTCGTAGATGCTGAAGAAGGAGTAGTAAGACCACTACTTTGTGCATTACTCGTAGAACAAGTCATGCCATCAGGATTTTCTCCAGGACTACTTGCTGTTCTAATTCCACCACTCATTGACATCTCTTCATCAACGAAGGAATAGGGATCCACTGGTGTTTCACATTTTATTGTTACCTATAATAATAATACATATTGGAGTAAATAAATGGGAAAATGGTTTTTTTTTTAATAAAATAAAAACTAAGTACGCTACTGATATTAAAAATCAATAATATAATGAAATATGTGAAAATTCAACGTCATTCGAGCCGAGTGGAAGTTTCATCGAGGAATCAGAGCTGAGTGTAATTTGATCCTGATGAGAGAGCTTGGTGGTCGAGTGTGCTTCGTTAAGTCGAGTACTTACACCTGTTACCGAGCGGGAATAGAGAAAGAAGAGGCGGTGAATATGCAGGGAAACATATCAAAGTTGAAAATAGTGCGAATAAATGGGAGAAAAGGGGCAAAAAGGGTAGGACGGTGATGGTAGAAGCCTGAGGGATGACATCAGTGTCATCGGTTGTGGCTGCGGTGATGGTAAAATGAGTTTGTGTGGGAATATAAGTGTGTCCCTCACCTGTCCTAATGTGGCCCCAGTAGAGCTCGGTTGTTGGGGCTGATGCGGCGTTGCCGATATTGGCGTCAGTGGTGTATGAGGCGTATGAGGTGTGTGGGGTGTATGCGGCGTCAGTGGAGTATGGTACTGCTGACTACTATCACCCCCGTTGCTTCTCATCTCCAGGTCTGGACTTGTTTCATAGCCATCATCTCTGGCTTCCTGCTTCACCATTAACCCTGTATATAGTTAGAAAATCACAATGATAGACTTTGAAAACTGGGTTTTAATTTAGTTATTTGACTGTTAGTTTACGATTTCCCATATAGGCCCAGAGGCTTGGAGCTTTATGGAATCGGATTACTGGAAACTTACCTTGAGAACCAGAACAGTTGATTGTACTACCATTTTGTACACCATTTTGCACTGGAGATGGGTATGACCTGTAACAAAAAGATATATTTATTTTCAGTTATCTGGTCAAATACATATACTCAAGTTAGATACATATGCTGTCTATATTATCATGTACAGTCTTATAAATATATATATATATATATATATATGTAAATACGTAAATGCGTAAGTATGCATCTCACGTAAGTTGATCGAGATGTTAGATAAAGAAAAAACAGCAGTATGGAAGAAATCTGAGATTGTATCTATACGCAAACAGCAATGATGAGAGCGGCAGCATTATAGAGGACGTTTGCAGCCAAGATTACGCAAGTGTTGTTGGCGATAGAAAGTATACCCATAGTAGCAAAAGGGATTTGTTTAGTATATACTTATAATAATAATATAATAATCATATACCTGGACATGATGCTGTAAAAAATGCCAGATGCATTTGTTTCATTTTATCAACTCGAAGAATGTATGAGACATTTGAATGTTTTATATTATTTTATGAGAAAATTAAAACCTTGGAGGTGATTTTCAAATATTAAGGTACAGGTTTTTTTAGCCTGCTATTTATATAGAAAGTTTAAAGGTTTTATTGTGTGGTTTTAAAAGGAAATCATAATTTTTGAAAAATTAAAACCACCGGAAATAACAGCAAATCAGTAAACACCCAAAGGCAAGTGAATTTAAATGAAAATTGAATATTGTGAAGTGTTAAATTTCCGTGGTGTTGATGAACTCTTTAAAATTGTTCAGTCATATAATTCGCTTTGATGATTTTATTGATAGAACTGGTAAGAATTAATTGAAGCAAACTTTCGAATAAATTTACTTTAACAAATGAAAGAAATATTTATTGAATTGGAAGATAATTAGCATATAATAACATTTGTCATATTGTGACACAAGAAGCTCACAACCAAATTATTCTTTAACGAATTGAAAACCTTCGAGATTCTTGAATATTTAAGATTTCTTCCTTTCTTAAATATACATATCTTGACATGTTCTACTTGACATAATTCTCTTAATAATTCATACCATATCGTGTCTTTTTTTCATTCTTTTTCAATCATCAATTAAACCCTTTCTATAATTTATTATCTATTTTAACCCTCGAATTCAGGAGCAGAGTATTTATGAAAGACAGATAACGACGGAAATGGAAGTATTTCTAGAAAAACATTTTTAGAAAATAGTTGTTAAAAATTTATAAGTTCATTGTACTGACTTTGTTTAACTTCTTCAAGATATTTATTTATTACTACAACTATATTCATTTTTGAATAGAGTTGAATTTCTTTATTTTTAGTATTTACATAAATAAATATTGACAAACTTTAAATTCAAAAAAATGGTAAAAATTCATTTAATTATCAGTCCAAAGTATATCGTTAACAATAGCTTAATTAATTAAATTTTTCTAGAATTATTCTAATTCTCGTATTTCCCAAACATTTCATGTATTCCATACTCTACATATTTCGAACAATATTCATTACATCAAATAACAAAAAGCTTAACTGAAGTTGAACATTTTTTTGCTCATCATGAAAATTAACAAAAAATGCAAACAATTCAATAACCAATAGCAATTGAGATCAACTACGGTCAGTTTTCAGAAATTCTCCAAAAAAAATTTTAATAAACCAGCAAACTTTTATTTATAAAATGTCATTCCTAACTTTTTTGAATGCTTTGTTTTTAAAAATTTTATTACACAACAATCATTGATTTCAATCCAATTATAAATGTATATATAAATTTTCATATAAAATAATATATATTTGTGATAAAATTCAACATAGAATTGATTCTATAAAAAGTTGTTTTAGAGTGTGGTTTTTGTAATACATTTCAGTTAGAAGCATTGTTAATTTTAAAATACCTGACTGGAATGATTTTGTAGTTAGACTATACCTGGCCTATGTACTTTTTACGTGGGGCTGTACTCCATATACACGTATATATATATGCTGAGGGCTAAGTGTACATGAAGCATGGCATTTACATGCACATATATATCGTACACTAGCACGCACACTAGTGTGCTGTCGAGCGAATGTATAAGCAAGTTGGATACATAAGGCCTCGTAAATATGTACCTGGAGTTAAATACACAGAATTTATATACATATATATATATATGTATGGGTGTATGTATTTATATACGTGCATGTATATGAAGAAGGGCAGGAGAGACAGGTTGGCGTGTAGGAGATGGCTGGTACATAGAAGTACTTGGTGGAAACAGCGACTAGGGCAGCTGCCGGGGAAAGAAGAGTGTTGTGAAGAGGAAAGAGAAGCAAAAGTCTAGTGATGGCAACGAACCATCTACACTTGAAATTTCAAACTTCTTTTCCTAATAATTTTGACACTTTATTTTCTGGGTTATGTTTTGAATTTACAAATTTCTGAATCTTACTCAAGTACAGAAATACACGAGAAAATATTATAATGACGTGACATGTTTATCAAAAAAATTGTGTCAGATTTGAAAATTCAGTAAAAATTGGAGAAAAAAAAACTCATAGAATTGAGGATGATCATGTTTATTTTTTTTCTAATTTAAAATTAAAGAGAATAAAAATGCATCAAGATATTTTGAAGTTTCTAGTTATTTATCAGAGAAGATACAATCATAACATGACCTCGACCACACTTTTTTAGATTATGGTTCCATTAAAGAGTCATTTCTAAAGTTATTCATTAATTAAAAGAGAGATTTTAAAAAAGAAAAAATAAATAAAAATAGTTGTAATTTAAATGAGCTGTTAATGTCCTAACGTCTTTATACTTAAGGGGAGTAAACAAAATCAATTATTCATATTTCAAGTTGACTTAATAAATGATAATTAAAAACTATATATAAGCCTCTTTGAATAATATATAAATGAACATATAATTATATCCTCATAATAATTAGTGTAAATTAAACGATATCACTACTTTCATGTCTTTCATGTAATCACAATAAACTAAACGTAGATGCGTGTGTTACCACAATAAAATAAGTGTGGCAGGTGGTGAGAAAAGTGAGTAAAAAACTAAAAACACAGAAAAACCAGAAAAATGATTGAAAAAAGAAAGAATGAAAAAAAAATGGTATAAATAAAAAATAAAAAATGATAAATATAAAAAGCAAGGAAAAAATGGTAAAAATGGGTTAGTTTTGCGTGGGTTTCAACGCCACCCCTACTTGGTAGTGAGCGCAAGTGAGCCCGGTCGTAGCCGTTCTGTAGCCAGCACTCTGGTTGCCAGGGGAAACCTCCAGAAAACTCTACACACGTACAAACGCTTGGGCACACGGGCAGCAGCAGCAGAAACGAGCACGAACACGGGGCCACACGCAAAAGAGAGGGTGATGGGAGTTAGGAGGAGGGTGGAGGGTAATAGGAGGTCGACTGGGTGGTCGAGAGAGACCGAGAGAAATGGTATACATAGACAAAGCCGTCGACCCACGCACGTAATCACGCACACCCAGCTTACCCGTGGAAATGTCGATAGCGAAAAATGCCGTGCGATCGTTAGCAAAAAAATTATCATCAAAACATACTACTTTTTTATTTTTTTCTATTTGATTCTAAGAAAACTATAAATAAACTAGTACGAATGTTTAATTCACAGTTGATTAATTTTTTTTAATTGTTGTACTTGTTAGAAAGCAATTAATTTAGAAGAAGAAAGTACGTTACTGGGATTCTCTACTAAAACAGTTAAAGAAGGCAAAAAAAGAGGAATGAAAGAAAAGAGTGTAGTCAACGATCAAATATAATTTCGTCACGTTTCAGGAATTTTTACTTTTTATTTTTCCCCCTCAACTCGTTCTGGCTTGAATACCAGTACAGCAGACAGCCACGAGACTACGCTAACGGCAGGGATCGTACGACGGGGAGAATAATTTATATCTCTTTATTCTTTTCCCTTTACTATACACACTACTACCCTTGAGAAACGCCGACGTCGTAAACTGTCGGCATGCCCACAAGGGATTTTTTTTTCTTTTTTTAAGAGAGTGTATCAAGTGTCAGTTCATTCACAAATTGTAAGCAATAATTCTTTTCCCGCAGTTTCTCTACTAACCTATAGTTGTCAACATTTCAATTACATGTATTAATTTTGCTATTTATTTTTTACACTTCTTTCTTGAAGATCAACATTGAAGAAAAGTGGTTGCATATACGAGAGGAAGTTTCACCATCATTTTAACTTTTTTTTTTTAAATAAAGACTAAAGTAAATATAAACAATCAATAAGGAAGACAAGTTGATGATGGAAAAATGAAGATATAAATTCTTCAGTATAGCGATATATTTTTTACATTCAATCCTCTCCACTGATAGATAAATTTTTATTAATAATCTTTTACTCCAAAAAATTTACAGAAAAATCGCGGCCAAGTGAATAAATGAAATAAATCCATTTTTTTATAAACGAAAGAAAAATTTTTAAGTATCCTTTTTAAACATATTTATATAAATTCTTATTTTTTTTAACTTAACTTTAAATATTATTTATTCTAATCTATTATCAAATTTGATAATTTGATTTAATTTTTTTTTCTATTTAATAAAATAAATAAAATAATAATCGTTATTTAGAAGAACTAGTTAAATAAATATTTTTATCAAAAAATGTGTATGTAAATATCAGAATTATAAAGTGAGCTAAATGAAATAATTCTCATAATAATTATAACGTTTGATATAAAACAAGTTAATGAAATAAAGCCGTAATATATTCATCGAGCTGAGAATTCATATGAAGCAATATATTATTTGAAATACTCCTTACTATAATTTAAACAGCTGTCAAAATAAACTCGATATCTCCATTGACCGAGAATTACTCGAGTAGTTACACGTGGAATTTCATTCTTGTTTTTCCTATATAGCATTCATTGTAAATGCAGTAATACTAACGACGACTCGTCGCAAGAAACAAGTTACGACTAAACAAGTATTCTTTAACACGATGTTTACTTTTTAGTTTTATTTTATTTAACGTAGCAAGTGTCTCGCCCGGCACATTACTATAC